TTTTAACAAGCCGAGGTGTTGGCATACGACACCCGGTTGTAAAAAGCCGAGAGCACTTTGTGAAAATAGTAAACAAAGGAAGGGTAACCGTCATCTACATTGGAACTCGAACTATACTCGAAATGCTAAATTTTTCATTTGCTGCCTAATACAATTTTCACGGCAGGGTGGAGTACGAAACCAATCATACATAATGATGCTGAGATATTTGCAAAACTCCGCACGGCAGGTGGTTGCGCTGTGAATTGAACACGCTATTACCCTTTCCGGGGGCTAACGCATTCACCACCACACCGTGCGGATCCTTAGTTTCGCCTTTATCTCAGCTAGTTTTCTGTCTACCAGTGACATCACCGAACGCCCGTCAACGGGATTGATCTGGGGGAGCCCAAATCAGCATTGAACCCAGTTAGGCTGGGACTGCAGTCGAAATCACAATGACGGGTGATTGACGAGTGATTACTGGTGACACTGGTAGATAGTGAACTGGATGAGAGAAAGGCGAAACGAAGAACGCGTTAGACCCCGGAAAGGGTAATAGCGTGTTCGATCTCCATCGCCGACATCTGCCGTTCGGAGTTTTGCAAATAGCTCAGCATTACTGTACTCCAAATCTTATTGGACCTTACCTAGACTGTCCGATCAACACATTTCCAATTGATCCACCAGCTCCTCAGTTACTCACGTGTACTTAACTCTAATCCAACTAACAATTAGTACGAATAGTCTTCAATAAAGCTCTCAGCGCGTCGGAGCTGCCCTGTAGCCAACCCATCCTCTGGAATAACACATAAAACAGGGAAGTCTGAGCTAAATTCAAAAACCATTTCCACCTGTTGAAATTCTCGAAAGCAGCTGTGCTCAAGCGTTTTTCACTCATCATCCGCCATCAGTTTCCAATACAAAATGCAGCACCAGTCCCTCCAACATTGCAGAACTTTAACCCTATCTTGACTGAGCTGGTGGTTATTCTTATCATAAGAGTCAAAAAGCAAAGTTATGAGTCTACTCCTTCTTTTCTTTTCGCATAACACCTTTCGAAGGAGCAAAAACAGCGCTTGGCAGATCGACAACCGGGGAACACGGTTCTTCCTCGTTAATCGGTGCTAAATCCACAGTGACATTGGAACAGCGATAACTTCCATCGAACCGAAAGCTTCGACAAACCAACAACTAACCGGTTGATCCCTTTTGATTAAACTGACTTGCAGAATCTAATACCTTATGTACAAGTCAATCGAGAGCGTCAGCGATACAGCTCCCATACTACGAAACAACTTCTGACCATGATTAAGTGCATGCTAGCTTTTCTACTGCATTTATCCTTCAGCCTTTCACCAGCAAACATAGTCTCACAGCTCTCGTGCTTCAGATGGTCGAGATATAAGTTATAGCTCATCATATCAGGGTGAGACCACCGTCTCCTTCGTGCGAAATTCCATTTCTCGCGGAAAGGAGAAAATGCCGCTAAATTCAAAAACCGAAGTCCCACAACTACCGTAAGCTGGGACTTATTCAATTCATTAGCCGGCTGTTGGGAAGATGCCGTTGTCGATAAAATAGACGATAGACGATAAAATAGATAAAAAATAGAATACGATCAATTCATTCAACATCTTCACGTTAGCGCTATGAAAGCTCAGAGTTCGAAAATCACCAAGAGACGTCTGTATCGAGAAACACTCGAGCTGATACGCCAGCGTGGAACAGCACGAGCTGCAGACAAACCGCGAACTAACGCTCGAACTTGCAAAGCAATGCAGAGAGGCAATAAAAGAAGATCTTAGAGAGAGATGAGCAGTAGTAATGGCCGAAGCTGCAGAGGCTGGGAAAAGCGTTGGCAAAGCCCACCGAGGCTTCGCGAATTACAAGACCAAGATGATTGCACTCCGGCGTCCAGGTGGAACAGTTACAGCATCCAGAAAGGCAACGGAAAAAATCATTCACGAATACTACTTGGATCTCTTCGATAGCCACGTCCACCTTCCGTCATATGAAATAGAGGATGGATACGTTGTACCACCGGTTCACCCTTCCGAAATCCGACATGCCATTTCGTCGGTGAAAAATCGTACAGCACCAGGTCCGGACAGGATAAAACCGAAACAACTGAAGAACCTTCCGCCAGTTCTCATAAGCACACTGGCTCGGCTCTTCACACATTACCTGTATGAATGCAGGGTCCCTTCTCAGTGGAAGACTAGCAAGACCTTGCTATTGTTCAAGAAGGGTGGCCTACACGGTATCGTCAACTATCGCCCAGTCTGCTTGCTGTCTGTCGTCCACAAACTTTTCACTCTAGTCATTCTAAACAGGATTGACAGAACACTGGACAAAGGACAGCCATTTGAGCAAGCAGGGTTTCAAAAAGGATTCAGTACGTTGGGCCACATCCAACGATAACAAGGCTCATTGAAGTGTCGCGAGAGTACAAAAGACCGCTCTGTCTCACTTTCATCGATTTACAGAAGGCCTTTGATTCAGTTGAGGTAAAGGCATTCATGGAAGCCCTTGATAGTCAAGGAGTTCCTATTCAGTACATAAAGATTCTTTGCGATCTATACGACAATTTCACAACCAAGATGTCACCATTCTACAATGATATTAACATTGACGTGAAATGAGGAGTTAGGCAAGGCGATACCATCTCGCCAAAATTATTTACGGCCACCTTCCAGAACGTCGTGAGAACATTGTTGGAATGGGATAATATGGGAGTGAGAATCGACGGTCGGTGGTTACACCATCTTCGGTCTGCTGATAACATCGACTTAATAACAGCAAACATTAGCCAAGCGGAACGTATGCTTGCCGACTTTGATAAAGCCTGTAGAATGATTGGTCTGCGACTAAATCTCACAAAAACGATGTTCATGAAGAACGGATTGGCTTCGCATGCTTCATTCACGCTCAACGGAACGAATATCTCCGAATGCTCCAGTTATATCTATCTAGGTCGTGAAATCAATGATGAACGACCTAGCTCCAGAGCTGAGCAGAAGGAAACGAGCAGCTTGAGGAGCTTTCAAAAGCATCGAGAATGTAGTGAAGAGAACAAAGAACACCCGACTTTGTGCCCACCTTTTCGACTCAACGGTGCTTCCTGCCTTAACGTATGCGTTAGAAACCTGGTCGCTGCGTAAGCAGGATGAAAGGTCACCCAGCGTTATCGAACGCGGAGTTGAAAGGACGATGCTCGGAGGATCCCGTTCCACACAAGTAAGGAATGGAATCCGAAGAACCGATCTACGTCAACGATCACAAATCAAAGGTACCGTTCTGTGCGGTAAACAGTCGAAGATGGGCCGGAAACTCAGTGCGTGTGAATGACAACCGATGGACAAGGTTCGTTAGTGACTGGATTTCTCGCGATGTCAAACGTACTGCAAGAAGATAACCGACCCGATGGTCAGAGTTCTTCACGAAGAGCCTAAAAGAAAGATATGATGTTCGACGAGTCTCTAGAGCGAGCAGCGAGCACTCACTGGGCTACTCTTGCATGCGACAAGGAAAAATGGAAGATTTACTGGCGCCCGCTCGAATCACTCGATGATCAGCGGAACTACAGGTGGTACAGGTGATACTTTCAAGAGAATGTTCAATGTTGACTAAATGCTTGTAGGTTGACCTTATTAAAGCCTTAATGTGCATCTCACTCGAAATTTGAGCAATAAACAGGTCAAGTAACACGCCATGCTGGTGCACCGTCCCAAGTGCAATGAACTGAAAATAGCAACTGTTACCCAGAATATATGTAAACATTAAGCAAACCACTCCTTTTCCTCCTTTCCTAAACTCACTCCCTGATATATAAAAAGCAGCTGACTCGTAGCAACAGATATGTCGCATACTCTGTGCTACACATAGACCTACGCACTTACCGACAGTAGTAGGAACTAAGGTTGTCCAAGATAATTCTTAAAAATTACAAACTTTCCCAACATAATCGAACTGCACTGATCAGAATATCGTTGCAGAACGGTGACTGGTCTCCCTCCACTACTTGGATAGTACGGCAAGGCTTGACTTATGGACATACTGTAGAATACGAATTTTGGAACATCCTGTGCAAAAGAAAAAGGAGCACGTGTGGCGTAGTGGCCTGGCGCCCTAAATTAAGCATTGGTTTAATCTCAGAGCCCCATGCTCATCAAGACCTCCATTCCTTTAGAGTCGACAAATTGTATTGGTACCAGAGCTGTCTGGGATGATAGTAGCAATGGTTCGATACATAGGCAGGCCACCACGAGTCATTGTAAAAGCCAGATATGCATTCAATCACCTCCGACGATGCTTAGTGAAGTCGAATGCATGGTGCATCCCTCAGGGATTCATCAACGCAGAGAACTTTATTTTTTAAATCTTTATCCTGTGTGAAAAGGACCGCGTTCACACTCTATGAACTAACAGTTGAAGATATAATAGACAATACCATCTTATCAAACAGGGTTTCAGTAGTGGGTAAGACTACGGTCAACCGCATTATTCTCTTAAGAAATTGATATGAAATTAAGCATAAAGACTTGTGGAAACCGTTGAGCTTTTTAGCAAAATTTCTTGCTAGCCATCAGTGACAACAGGTCCCATTCCTCACGCCTCATTTCAACAGACTGTTCAAATCGCTTCTCATTTCTTTCTTAATTGACTAACTGGTCTACTATTTCGAGAAATTGTGCGTCACTAAGTGAAACTGTGAAAATCAAAGATTATTTTCAATTCATAACCCCCCTGCAACACGTTAGCTACAGCTTGGATTCCTATTAGATATTATAACAATCCTTCACACTGGTTTAGTGGCATAGTTAACGATGAACCGATCCATTAAGCACAACTACTTTTTTTTCAAACCTGTCGGCACTGGTGCAAAACTGATCCCACCCTCTATAAAATGGAGTTTTGGCATATGTATACATATACATATACATATATGTAACGCATGCAACATATATTCCAAGTTAAAACAGTAACAATGAATAACAACATCAAAAGTAACACTCTGTCTAAGCAAATATCTCTGAAATCCGCTGTCTGCTATCAGGATTAGCTATCGTCCATGCTGCCGCTAGTGCTATGCCAACAAACGCACCTATAATAAAAAGAACAAACCGAACTTCTGGAATATTAAGATGTAACGACCATAAAGGCTCCTTACTACTAAATCTTACCTATTCCACTTGCTCTTAGTCCGTAAGGACTACGGTAGATCGCACCTGTTAGCGCGCCGGCACCCAGACAATTCAACTCGTCCTCTGCACGAACAGAACGTAGTGCAATTTCTAACGCAGAGTACATGAAAACAACGGCACCTGAACTTCGTACTAGCTATAGTTTAGAGTATAGAACTTTTTCAAAAGAGTGCAAAAACTAAATCATTCCTAGCATAATAAAATGACGAGATCCATCAAATATTTGGAAGCCAAATGTTCTTTCTTTTTTCAAAAAAAGCAGAGCACCGGTAAAAAGAAGATCACGTGACGAAGCTTAAAGTGCTATTAAAGTGTTTACATTAGCTCCAATGAACCGTAGTTGAAATATGAACACCTTAGGAAAGCTGGTTTCCCGACTACAGATGACAATTTCTTAATTAGTTGGGCACTAGAAGCAATTTGACGGGGTTGAAGATTAATACAAGAAACTAAGCTCTAACGCCCTGAGTAGATTTATGAACACAAATACATTACATTGTGCTAACTTTCTGTTTACTGTTTATTATTAATTTTCACAGCAGGGCATAATGTGAAATACAACCGCTACGATGCTGAGATACTTGGAAAACATGGACGCCAGGTCAGGATCAAACTCGCGATTACTCTTCACTAGGCTTCACGGTCGATCTAGGCTGGGGTTCAAGTTCTGCAAACATCTGAGCATCTTAGTGGATACATTATATAATTCTTTTATACGATCCGATGTTCACATTTGCTGTGCGAATCCTAGCAGTATACTTCCCTACAATTCGTTTCCTCGCATCCATCACACACGAAGGTCTTCCAACTTCCTACCCGTGCTCCCGATGGTCGGCGTTACTGTATATAGTATGTAACGCATTAAAAATATCTTAATGCATAATAAAAAATATACAGTGTGAAATCCTTTCAATTTCAACTTTTTTAGAATTGCTTACTTACTTGACACTTGAACGGCCCGTCCTCAGTGGTTGTGCGAGCCCCAGCATAATCACCATTTAACGAAGATTTACTGGTTAAGCCATTGTGGTTCCCTAGAATTCCGAGGTCAGCTTGGCCAAAGTCTGCCCCAGGTCGTCACCATGACAGGCAGTCGCAGCCCTTGCGGACCAGAGGAAGATTTACCACCATGCGACTTTGATACCAGGATGGTGGTGGATTCTGGTACTGATTTACTCTTAGCTAGGTTTCCTGATGGAAACTCCGGACTCCTTCCTAGCTTAGGAGACCCTGCCAGAGGATTAATCCACTGCTGTACATCGCAGTCCGACACCCAGGAACACCCAGCCATGACGAGGCGGTAAACCGTTGGGAGGTTTTTAGAATTAATATTCTAAAAAACTGAAGACGAGATCTGAGATGCAGAAATTACTCAGATAAGCACGGCATGTAAAAAAATAACCCTACATTTAAGAACACCATTGCAGTCTGCTGGTCGGAATCCTATTTGTTCAACTGAACTCATGTTCGAAATATAAGTCAACGAATGAATACAAAAAAAGTTGTTTCACGAGCTCTGAAAAATCGGAATTGCATCCCGGTAGGACAAAAATATACGTTTTATTGCTAAAGATTTGCTAACTGCAATGGTTTTTACTCAATTTCATAAATCCCACTACGGGGTGCGGATAGCGCAGTGGCTAATGATGCCGTCGATCAGAAAGCAAAAGGCGCTAATTCGAACTGTGCCCAACTCTTTCCTCCGGCAGATATGAGAATGCCCTACCACCTTAAAAATTGCGAGCATTCTATGGCGCAGTATGCGAAGTGTTCGAAGACCATTGTGGACGATGAATGCGAGGAAAACGAGTCCAATGTATGAAGCGCTGGGATCTGCATAGTAGATGTATTATGCAAAATAAAAAAGCAATGAAAAAACACTATGATCTGAGACATGGCTAAACAGGCTTGAGAAACAAGACGCTGCCGTAAAACATTTGGTTAAAACAATTACAAACCAGCTGGTTGAGCATATCCTGATCCGTGCTTGACTGTTGCGTTTACCATACGAGTCATCCAAGGCTTCCCCGTCTAGAAATACAAAGCTAGAAGTAAGTATAAAGCAGGTATGCTAATAAAAAAATGTAACATGTAAATTAAGGGGGAGTTATGATTAAAACAACTACCAGCTTTCTCGTCTCAGGATTTAACAGTTCTCCAAGAGCTCCTCTTATTGAACCAACTGCAAATCCACTACCTACAGCCCAACCAATATGTCCGAGAGCGAATTCGAACTTTCCTTTGCCAGAAGTACCAGTTCCACCATCGGGCATAATATACTGCGGCTGTGAAGAGATGAACATTGAGGGGTCCATCTGCAATCCGATAAAAGAGTATAAGTCGTCCATAAGAAAACAGCCTACGTGTTTCCACAAAAAGAAAAGCAATGGCCCAAAGTATGTCACGGTGTTTAAACAGAACAGTTGATGTGCTATAATGGTAACACAAATCACCTGTAAGTAAGGAGTCATTTGCCTCGTCACAGGCACCCCAGCGCTTTTAATTTGATCGAGAGCAAGTACAGGAGTGGAGAACGGAGAGTTTGCCTGAACAGAACACTTTACCTTCCAAGAAAGGGGACTGAGACATAACAACCCGCAGTTTCTCAACACGCACATATTACTAACAAAAGATGACCAACTTGAGATGCGTGATCGTCAATACTGAAGGACACTCCACCACCTCCATCAGTAAGATCTATGGGCGTACTTGGCGTCTCCAGAGTCGAATGAGATGTCTTCTCGGAGGAACCGCCCCAACCAAACCAAGACATTGGCTCTGCAGCAACGAGATAGAGATATTAAAATCACAAAGTATTAAAAACATGTTTATTTTAGGTGACAAACGAAATCTTAAAAAAGCATAACCGAGATTGGCTCAAGAAGGAACTGTATGCATTTAGTTGAAGACATGTCGTTCATAACAGAAACGCACAGAGAGTGTTTCATAACACGAATCCTTCAAGAGCAAGAAAACGAGGATAACTGATTTCAGATGGATTAAAATGAAAAGGAGGCGACATATATATATATATATATATATACGTATCAAGATACGTGTATTTACAATGTATATACGCATATAAATATACATACCGCCTTTGGTGGTGACAACCTGAGACAGAATTTGGCTACGCTGACCTCGGGATCCCAGGAAGCCACAATGCCTAAACCGGCAAAACTCCGAAAAAGCAGAAACTTTGCTGGAACCCACACAAACAGTGAAAGATGGCCATCCAAGTGTCCAAATATGCAAGTATATGTATATAACATGTATGTATATATGCACATATACATATATATATGCGATATCCATATATATATGTAAGTAACAAAAAGTTGCTGAATCACCGCTTTTGGAAAAAAGGATTATATCAAAGCGATGAAACTCTGTAAGGAAGACGGACATCCTGACAGAGTGACGTATTAAAGGGCCGTATGAATTGTGTCTGGAGCAATGATGACGTCATGTGGTTACGTTTTCTGTTTGAGTGGTAGTGTTGTACATAATTGCTAATTTATACGTTTAATGTCTACGGACCACCTTCTTTTACTATGCTGGGAACTCCCTGAGAACCTGCATTCCAGCAGGAGTAGTTAGGAACAAAATGTGAAGAAGTCAGTCATATCTTAGGAGAAGTTGAAGTTTTCTTCGATATCTCTACCCATGAGTGCCATGTATGTTGTAAATTATTTGGTGCACTTCCTTGTCTTCACTTTGTCCCATTGGATTATGAATTAGGAGCAAGGCTCTGTGAAGTCTGTTTTTTTTTCTTCAGCCGAAGGGCAGTTAGTGTTTAATTTCATCGTGATATTGTGAGGTTGTTAGGTTAAGCGTTAATATTTCATCAATCGCGCTCAGATTTATCGTCGTTAACTGAGTGACACCTTTCCTAGCAGCAAGTTTCCTTCTCTGAAGAAACCGTATATCCCTGACCTTACTGGGTCAGTGTTCTTTTCTGTCCTCTTCGTTCTTCGTTATTTAGTACTGTCTTTCTCCTTCTAATGCTGACGATAGATGTTTCATCACAAAAATGATGCAAAGTCAGTGCACAAATTCGCTTATCAGTTATCCAAGCAGATTTATTGATTATTTATGCCATGGTTTATAGAAAACCAGTCTTTTGAGTTATTCAAGCTTCGACTTTGTTACCTCTTTCTGTTATCTTATGTTGTGTTGTTCTGCCACTGGCGTGACGTCACTGGAGATCACGTGCTTCCCTGTGTTTTCGTAGACGAAGCGCGGGAAAACTCTTCATTGATTTTTGATAGTTGCTCGGATGCGCTCACGTAGCTCATGGGTTTATCTGGCTGTGCTGATCGCATAATTTTGTTAAGTATCCATATCTATAAAGTATTTGGGTTATCGTAGACGTCGTGAATTTAGTACTTTTCAAGGGTCTCACGAGCCAAACTCGACTTTTCAAATACCACAGTATGAAGATTTGGAATTCGGAACATGTGTTCGAGTATGTTGCAGTCAATTTTTCCGAAAACTGAAATTTTCGACGCCTGTTATCGGTCGAATGTTTAGCCATGATTGGGAGACCGTGGTCACAGCAGCATGGAGGAAATATCCGAACCCTATGAACCAGGGAGTGACCGGCATGGATGTGCTGCGACAAACGCTGCGTGCTGGAAGGATCATGTCGGAGAGGATCATTCAGTCACATTTTCACATTCCATCATGGGTGACGAAGGTGAGTGATTTTATTGCTTCATATATTCAAGTTCAAAAATCGAGAGCCCTTAGGGGATCTGTTGTTTTGGGTGGATGTGGTTTTCTTGGAGTCGATCCAAGTTGATTAAAATAGATGTTTCTCAGGTTTATAGCCTTTATCAATGTCCTAATTGATTGCGAGAGGCCAAAGAGGTGGTGTAGAAATTTTCTACAAGAGTTGTTTACTTTTTAATCACGGATTAAATCCATCATTATTGGGACGAGTTGTCACAACGTATCAATTGCATTTTTAAAATACCAAGTTTCTAATTTAAAAAAGGTCTGCTCCAGTCAATTCCTTATGATGGTCTTATCACTATATACCAGATACACACATGTATTGATTTCCACTCAAATAATTGTTCGCTTAGAGTTGCAAGGAATCAAAAAATTTTTACGGTTTTTCTATGCTTTAACTTCGTATGTGCGTGCTATACTTGTTATACGTTTGTTCTATACCGAATTCTTTTCAAATTAAGCGAACGTTTAATTTGAGCGCTGAAAATTGTTGTACTAGCTGGGTGTTCCTGGGTTCTGGGCTAAGATGTACAGTGGGGGGCCCACAATGGCTGAACCATCAAAACTCTGAAAAAATGGAGGTTGTGCTGGGGCCCGCACGGTCAGTGAAGTTGGTTCATCCAAGTATCAAACTAAGTAATTTTTGTAAAGTCGTTCTATATGAGAGCTCCAAATTGATGGAGTGTATAGTTGATACACTACGTCCATAATAGGTTTGTGTTTTTTGTCTTGACTACATGATTTGCAGAATCAATAATTAGCTCTGTCACTGTTTTAAACAAATTAGAGGAATCATGAGCATTGAGACATCCCTAGCAGTGTCAATATAACCAACAAGTGCGCACCTATGTCACCCTATTTTACACATATCTAGTTCCCTTATCCGTTTTTAGCATGGCAGGCATAAGTTTTTAAGGCAGTTTTAAAGGTTTTTTTTCATAAGGCAGTTTTTTTTTTTAACATTTAACTCCATTAGCTTGTTCTTTAGCTGACTGGATTTTCTGGTACTCAGTACTCACACGAGTACACTGTCATCGATCCTGAAGCAAGAACTATGTCACTCACCACAAGAAATGTGAGAAACGCTTATCTGTTGTCTAACCTCCTATGGTATCTGCTTCTGTTTCTTCTAATTTTTAGCTCAACTGCTGTCACTTTCTTCAAGTAGACGAGAAGCTCACATATACTCCATTACCCGATGATCCCACAAAGTAAGTGTTTGCCACCGCATTTGGTTTCTTTGCTGTGAAGCGAAAAAAATTCGTAGTTTCCACTGGTTTGGACACGTTAACAGATTTCAATATGATTGACGTCTTGGTTTAGAACAATTTTGAGACAAGAAGCCAGTGTTGTGATTACACTGCCTGCATTTGCTGATTATTGCGAGAAAACTTTCATAGGAGTGTATTCTTCCAATGCTGCCAAGGTACGTCCAACTCATTCCAATGGGGCTTTGACACGTCGACAGGTATAATAAGACCTATAAGTGAACTTGCCAATCGGTTGCAGGCAGGATCTCTGTTCCGTTTTTTTCGCATCAAATGGATCTTTTACCATCTCAATGATTATACCTACTGACGTACTGACAGGACAAAAATTTCGGTGGTTGTCTCACTTTGCTCTCACAAATACCAAATCAAGTTCTCTTCAACTGGTTGAGTGCAGTACAGAGGGATGCTGTCTACCATCATCCTCATAGTTGTCTCAAAAACACTTATTAATGTAAAAGAGAAAACGGACTTGGGTATATGAACCCATGGGTCACTTGAGAGAAAGGAAGAAGGCGCTGATCTGGTGCTGGCAGCAACGTGCAAATTTGTGTTGTCGTCAGTGTTTTAAGTTCGTTAGTACTTGAATAATTTGACAACTTACTGATTCTTTACGTTCCTTTTTATAGGGAAGAAAAGGCGTTGAGTGGGTGATAGACCAATTAAAGAAGGAGTATGCCGACATCTCAACAAAAGTCTCTGCTGAGGTTCACGAAATGCAAGAGAAAGTATTAAATGCATTCAAAGGTGCAGGTTCTTCGACAACGCCAATGTCACCCTGAGTTATTTTGTAGATTCTGTTGTCCTCTTAGGAGTATTAGTTTTCTAGTGTCTACTTTCCAAGTTTTTATCAGAAATATTTTACCTATGAGTCTTCCTAGTCCTTTTATATAGCGTACTTAAAATTCAGTTCACGGGTTGTGAAATAGGTTTGCCAATTTTGGGCAAGAGTACTGCAGCACTGATTGCTTTAGCTGATGACAACGTTGTTTCTGTTGAAGCACAATTAAGAGTACATTGTTTGGTAAAATTATTTGATGAGATGATCTATATGAAGAGATCCGGTCTCCTTCAACTGTGGTTGTAATTGCATGTGAATGGATTGGATAATAAAGGATGAATATTGGAACTTACATCGATTTCGTCAGTTTATCTATCCACTTATTAATTAATATAGCTTGTAATCTCGTTGAACATTTAGCTACATTTTAAATCAGTAACAGGATCTTCATGTAATACATTAACCTTTCGAAATGGTTCATTCAGTTCTCTTTTCCAACAAATCAGATAAGTCGAACGAACTTTGCGCGTCCTTCGTTTGTAATGGGAATATTTCGCCATCCCTTCGAGCACGCGCCCACCGATAAAGCATGCCGGCTCTTCGGGAAATCGTCATCCTTTGAATGCCATTGAAAGAAGTACACAAGTCGCAAGTCACATGGCCATCCAAATGCCGTATATGAAAATAGATAACAAAGTGTATAACGGATAATAAGAGTAACTGTTTTTCATGTAAAGAAAGTCATTTTTTAAATTACACATTCTAAGGAGATCTTACTTTGAGAATTCTGGCGAGATTTCTTTCAGCATGTCGTAAGCACTTCTCTATAATGACGAAAGAGAACTTCCTAGTTTCTGTGCCTGATATCTCACGACTTGAATGTTTGCCGTCTGCTCGAATGACTCGCCAACGAACAGGAAAAGTGCAAGAACTAAATCATAAGTTGGAGTTGTTCGTAGAAGGAAATAATAGTGTCCACAAACCTCCTGGACATCAATTTTGGGCATCCTAGATCGTGAGGACAAGGAGCATAAATCTTCGCAGGAGGTAGAGCAGTAGGTAACACAATCTCAGCTGGCACCTAAATTATAGTAAGCAAAATCGGAGGATTCGAATAAACATGTTATAAACTTAATGAAATCACAGTAATGCAACTAATCCTTATAAAACTGATTTTATAGCTACTGGAGAACCAGTGTCTGCAAAAGTATTGAGTATTGAAATACCGAAATGTGAAGCTTCAGGAGGCGGATCACAACAATATGGTGTGTTCCATTGAATTTTTAACGAAATTCAAACATTTCATCGTCCTCTTGATAAGAAAACACGAGGTTGTTACTACAGTATTTATTTATTTACAACAAATGACGTTTCAACGGATTTCGCCATCTACAGAGTCTGGAAAGGTCAAGTGGACTGCAATGCAGTCAACCGAATACCTCCATAACCTCAACAGAAAACCCGAAACATATTTCAACCGTACTGGAAACAGCTTCTTTATACACTGATCGTTTTGTTCCCTACAAGTACTCCAGTTATTCGGTGGGAACCAGCCACATAGAGGCTTACATGATTGAGGACTAAGCCTGGCATAAATCAAAAAATCAGCCCAAGATATGCCGCAAGGTCACAGTTGATCTAAGGGTACTCTCTTTCAGTTCACTGCTCTTGCTCAGCCCAAGGTATGACACGATTGGGCTGATTTTCTGACCTGAGCCAGGCACATTCCTCATCCATGTAGAACTCTGTCCGGCTGGTCTCCAACAGTAACTAGGGACTTATAAAGAACAAAGCGGTGAGTGTTTAAAAGCACCTGTTTACTGCGCGAATGATACTTTATGTTACGTTTCATTTACTGAGGTTACGAAAGTGTTTGTCTGAGCATACTGCATCTCAACGTGACCTATCAAGACTGAGAAAGGCGTAACCGCTGAGACGTGAGGTATTGTGAATGAATAAATAATGTAATAACATTCACGTGGTTGTTCATCAAATGAACAGTAAATTATTGATCGACGCCGAGATAAAAAGAAAGTCGGTTCTTGCAAATTCAAATAATAACCACAATTACCTGATCGTGGATGATTAAAAACCGCTCGAGATCGGAGATATTGCGATCATTAAGGACGGTATAGATGTCTTCAGTCATCAGGTTGTGCTCCTAAAAGAATCAGGAGAAAATTGGAATTTTTCCAGATTTTCAGATAACCTCCGTACCCTTAATTCTATACAGCGTTTTGTCAACAGGAATCAAACAAAAAAGATCACCCACCTTTAACAATGAAACTGTGTCCTCTAAATGTAGTTGTACGCCAGAAAGTAGCAAGAAATCTCGGGCTTCCATCAAAGCTTCGAACGCATCATGGAGGCCAGAATCAATAAGAACTAAGAATCTAAAACAATCGTCTCTTAAAAGGAGTCAAACATATGGATACTTAAGAAAGTAGACCCAATTTTTTTTTGAAACGTCCCACCTATTTGTTCTTCTCCATAAAGACGTCACAAGTTCTAGTCGAGACTCTCTCGAGTCAACTTCACAAAGAGTACGATGAGCGATTACGAGGTCGTACTTTTTTTGAACAGAAGTTGGGAGATGACGCCGAAAATTTATATTACGAGGCAACAAGTTTCCTTTGTCATCCTGAAATAATGTTATATCAAATCATAAAAGGATAAAGGACAAAGCTATCGGCGTTCAATCCCTGAGGGATGCGCCATGCATTCGACTTGATTACGCATCGTTTGGAGGAGGTGAATGATTGCATATCTGACCTTTACAATGACTCGTGGTGGCCTAACGATGTATTGAGCCAGTGCTGCCATCCTCCCAGACAAATCTGGTACCAATTTGCCGACCCCGGAGGGATGGAAGACTTGGTGGGCCATGGGCGTGGGGATCGATTCCACGTGTCCGTTGCAGGGCGCCTCCAACCACTGCGTCACACGCGCCCCGTCAAATCATATACGACAATAATAACAGGAGGACCAACTCTCATGATATCCATTGCAAAATTAGTTATAGCTACTGAAGGATCCACCATGCAGTAATCTTTTACTGCCGAGCCATAGCATTCATTGACAGCCCAGAAACCTCAAATAATGGATTCTGAATGGTGACGTAAAATACATTAAAAAGAAACAATCTGAATTTCTAACCTGCACCTATACCACAGCCGTAGTCTAATACGCTGTCAGGACAAAAATTACTTCCTTTGAACTCATCCAGAACTCTCGAAATCTCCGCATAGTTAGGGGCAAGCCTTCAAGGACACATGAACTACGAATCTTCGTTGCAGTACCAACAAACATGCAAACGTACTGAGATAGTGCGTATGCAGCTGCATTCTCTTTCGTCTCGACAGAAAGCGGTTGCCATGTGAAGTGCGTCTTCTTTAGAATTTTGTCAACTTCATTGCGGACTTTGTAGTTAATGCCGGTTGCCTTCTACAAATGTCTGTGACGAAATGACAAGTGCATAAGAATCATAGGTCTCCAGAGAGAAACTGAAGCGTACGAGATCTTCACTGAGGAGGTTCCACATATCTTGTTCTTCCCTCTTTTTCAACATGTTCTTGACTTTATTACGTGCTTCTCGTACAACGGATGGTGGCGCAGGAAATCTGAAAGCATCATGTCAGTAGTTTCAGCAATAAAAACTTGAAGGACCATGAAAAAGGTGCCTAAATGAGAATAAGAGGTGTAGCTAGAATCACCTACGATGCAACAGCACTTCGCTAAGCTGGTCAGCTTCATGCTGTATTTGCTTAGGTGAACGTTCACACGTTGTTAGTGCGTTCCTCAATCCCGATATAGCCTGTTCCGGGACAGCAAACTCTCTTCTGGAACATAACTGGAGTGTTACAAGAGATTATATGGAGATAAATGACATTATTTCATCACTACACCGGTTTTTAAATTCTGGTGTGGTAGGATACCTGAAGACCCACCATTATGAAAGGTGATGGTCCCAGCATATTAACTATGACGCTGCTATTCTTAACGTAAAAGTTGGATAAATAAATGATCCAGCATGTGCAAGATAACGCAACCCCTTGACAGTCTTGAAGAATGTGAACTCTATCGAAAAATGAACCTATGTCTAGAAAATATTGCACAACCAACCACACTTAGAAGGCTCATCAAAAGCAGAAAAAAAACTTGAAATTGGCATACTTGGATGGCCCGTCTTCACTGGTTGTGCGGGATCCAGCATAATCTCGACTTTTTCGGAGATTTGCTGGTTAAGACAATGTGGTTCTGTGCAGTCGCGAGGTCAGCCTGGTGAAAGTCTGCCCCAGGTTTTCACCACCACAGGCAGACACGACCCTTGTGGATCAGAGGGAGATTTGCCACCATGGGACTAGTTTGATACTCAACTGGACTTCCTGATGGAAACGCCGTACTCCTTCTCAACCTGGGAGACCTTGCTGGGGTGACGAATCCCCTCGCTGTACATCGCAGTCCGACACCCAGGAACACCTCTCGGCCACGACAAGGCGGTAAACCGTTGAGAAGAATTGGCATACTCATTGAAGAATGCCAGCCATAAAGCTTCTCATCCATCTTCGAATGTAAACACTAATAAAGGTAGTCAACACAGTAAAAAACGCAATGAGCGTTTTCTATCTTTCCTTTAAAATCACGACTGAAGTTTAAGATTTGAGTTCTCATAGACTATGAAACCGTCTCAAGAAAAAATGGTACGTGAAAGCATGCTCCTCTTTAGACTCATAAACGAAGTCAAAGGAATGAAAAAGAGAGTCATTGTGAAGAAAAACGTGTTGACAACTCCGTCTCAGCTTATCAAAAACCTGAGCAACAAAACTGTTGCAGTGACAGATTCGACCTATTAGTACATTGCAATATTTTGCTCATTCATATGAAACTACTACTGAATAGGTTATATACCATATCAAACATGTTACACTAATAAGAAAAAAAGTTGATCTTCAGTGTCTCTTGGTCTTCGTACCTAAACTTTCGAGATTGACGTTCCGACGGAGCTTTGAGCTGAACGATCGACTTCTCTCGTGTCAAAACATTCAGCGAAGTCACATGCGCAACACCGTCAGAAATCGTTTTGTTGAACTCTTGGTTTTCTGCACGTGAAGTGGACGGAGCCGAAGAAAACCAATGAGATTGTAATACAGTTGAATGTTTCAGAATGAGACGACGAGATGTCATTTCTGAAAAGAGTAAGTTGCCATAAAAAAACACTTCAGAATTGTCTCAAAAAATTTAATGAGTAGTTAGAATAAAGGTCCACAATTTTCGTTATCAAACGTGCGCCAATGAGGGTCCCCGGTCGAAACGCTTAAACGGCGCGAACTCGCAGTTATTTAGATTTGAGTGTGGGTATATCTCAACTCCTAGCAGAGAATATTTTTGCCCCTATTTTCATATTACTGTAGGTTTTTATATCGTGTATGTATTACTCATACTGGTACTTACTCCTATGTGCTCGTGCTTTACGAAATCGTTCCGCCAGTGGCATTTGGGTTGTGTAGAGCCTTGGGTTGTCATCAATCACATTGCATGCTCATTGCGCCTTTCCATATCAATCAATCTCTTTTTTTTTAACAAGGAGTGCTGTTTTTGTGCCGTTTATGATCTTGATCGACATGGGATTATGAAAAGTAACAAGATCTGCTCATTCCTGAACAGTGTGTAAGGAATGCTGCTCTGTAGACATGGATGTTTTCGCGCTCATCCACTTCCTCGCTATCATTCTTAAATGAGCAGTATTGTTATGAGCTATTATGTTATTTCCATGGGCCTCCCTCATAGAGAGACCTCATGGCGATTAGTCGCGAGGCGACGTGTTGCGTCCCTAGGTGGCCGATAGAGGGTTAGTCGTTGACCAAAAGTGACCGGCATCCTTGAGACACAAGTGGGTCCAGGAGATGGATTCCCTGTTTGTGCTACTCCAATTTGGCACGTACTTGCTCTCTCTACGAGGACGTATTCATACATGCGTGCGTGGCTGTGTTCTCGTTTATGTGGATTGTATTTTGCGAGTCAGTTCGTCCAGAAACCTGCGAGTACACAGAGAAGTGTACGAGAGACGATCTTAACCTTTTTATTTACTGCTTATTCTTTTTAATGGTAGGGTACGTTAACTACAGCTTCAGCTTAACTGGGTTCAATGCCGATGTGGGCTCCCCAGATCAATTCCGTTGACGGGCGATTGCTGATGGTAAGTGATCCATAGAACTAGCTGAGAGACAGGCGAAACGAAGGACCCGTATGGTGTAGTGGTGAACGCGTTAGCCCCCCGAAAGGGTAATAACGCGTTCGTTCCCCACTACAGACACCTGCGGTTCGAAATTTTGCAAGTATCTCAGCATCATGGAAGTTATGTGAGAGACGGTTAGGACTCAGCTCCAGCAAATTAGCTTCCGGTCTACTTTGGGAGAGACTGGCAAGCTAGCTACGAGTATACCCAGCTCCCAAGTTCAGAGCTCAGCAAGCTATACATATGTATCAAGAAGCTAAACACAATAAAATAAACGGACCTCATTCCCCTGACTCCGAAAGAGCACCCGATTCAGCGGTGTCGGGTAGGACAAGTACGGAGAAACTACTAAAATCTCAAGGCTATTCTAGGCTGCCTAAATCGCAAAGGGCTAAGGTAACGACGAGTACCCTCAATGCATGTACATTTGCATGTGAGTCCTCGGTAGAAAACTTGATCTTGCAGGCAAGAAGGGTAATGTACCACATTATAGACTGGCTGGGAGCTGAAGACCTCACCCATTCAACGCTGTCTATGATACCGGAAAAGAACTGTTGCTAGGAATATACGGTGGTAGAGGAGGTGGCGGCGTCAGCGTCGGCGTTCTGCTGAACACAGGTTTAACCGTAAATATCGGTTCATTCGAACAACTAGCAACTTGAACCAAACGTTTATGGTTGAAAGATATGGACCAACACCGGCTTTGACAATCTTCGTCATCTATGCACGGCATCAAGCTATGACGAAGGCGAAGTCGAAACGTTCTACATGAACTAGGAGAAGTTCTACAGAGAAGGCTTCACATTCTTAAGATTATGATTGGAGATTTTAACACTAAGACTGGTCACAGAATAACCTTGTATTGGGACTCATGGGTTAGTGGAACGAGGGTGAACAGCTGTCTGAGTTTATCATGATGGCCAGGCCTATTCATGGAAACTCGCCATTTCAGAAACCCACTCTCGACGCTGGATGTGGGAGTCTGTCATTGGACAGTGTCATAACAAAATCGGCCACATCATAGTAAACCGAAGGATTTGCTCAACCGACCTCGCTCTTGTCCCAAATTCTACATGGAATGAGACCATTGCCTCTGCGCAATACTTCGTTTGTCGCGGAAACGAGAAAAAGTCGCTAATTTCGAAAAACAAAATCCTAAAGTCACCATAAATTGGGACTTATTTAGTTGACTAGTGAGGTGTTGGGAAGGTGCCGTTCTGGACAACATCGACGAAGAATACGATGGGCTCATTCAACATCTTCATGTTAGCTCTATGAAAGCTGAGATCTCGAAAATCACCAAGAGATGTCTGTCTCCCGAAACACTCAAGCTGATGCGCTAGCGTGAAATCTCACGAACTGTGGGCAACCGCCAACTCACGTCCGAGTTTTCAAAACAATGCAGACAGGCTATAAAAGATCTTAAAGTGAGGAGCAGCAATTATGGTCGAAGCTGCAGAGACTGGGAAAGGCATTTGCATTGCCCACGAAGATTTATCAGTTACAAAACCAAGATGATTGCACTTTCAGCCCAGATGGAACTGTTACAGCTTCTAGAAAGACAACTGAGAAAATCATTCACGATTACTACTCTGATCTCTTTAGTTGCCACATCCTCCTGGCCTCATATGAAATTTGGACATGCTATTTTGTAGGTGAAAAATCAGACAGCACCAGGTCCGGATAGGATAAGATCTGAGCACCTGAAAAACCTTCCTCCATTTCTCATAAACGCACTGGCTCAGCTCACGTTGCCTCTCTGAATGCAAGGTCCATGCTCAGTGGAATACTGGCGAGATCGTGTTATTCTTCAAGATTGGTGACCTCCAATACCGGTAAGCCCTGTGAGCAAGCAGGATTTCGAAGAGGATTCAGTACGATGCACCATATCCACACGATAACAGGACTCGTTGAAGTACTAGGAGAGTACGAGAGACTGTTCGATCTCACGTTCAGCGATTTAATGAAGGCTTTTGACTCATTTGAGATAGAAGCAGTCACGGAAGCATTGGATTATCAGGACGCCCCTACTCAGTTCGCAAACATTTTTCATGAGTTATTCAAAGATTTCACATCCAAAATATCACCGTTCCACAATGATATTAATATCGTTATTAAAAGAGCGGTTAGGACACCATCTCGCCAAAATTGCTTACCGCCACCGATCCGATCGTTCTTATGACATCAAGCATTACCAGGCGGAACAAGTGATCGTCGACTTTGGTAACGCCTGTGGAAAGATTAGTCTTCGACTAAGTCTAACAAAAACGATGTTCGTGAGGAACAGATTGGCTACGTTTGCCCATTCCTGCTCAACGGAATGAATATCTCCGATTTCTTCAGAAATGTCTATCTAGTTCACTAAATCAACATGATGAACGACTTAGCTCCAGAGTTGAGCAGGAGGAATCGAGCGGCTTAGGGATCTTTCATGAGTGTAGGGATGTAGTGAAAATAGCAAAGAACACCCGACTCCATGCCCACCTTTTCGACTTCACGATTCTTACTGCCTTAACGTATGCGTCCGAAACTTAGTCGCTGCATAAGCAAGATGGAATCAGTGTTTTGTACGCGCAGTAGAAAGAACGATAATAAGAGTATCCTGTGCCACACAAGTGAGAAATGATCCGAAGCTCCAGCCTACCCCAACGATCTAAAATCAAAGATGCTGTGCTATACGCCAAACTGTCGAAGATAAGGTGGGCCTGAGACGTAATGCGTATGAACGACAACTCAAAGAGAAGAGACGTGACTGGATTCCTAGGAATGTAAAACCTACCGCAGGAATATCATCGACACAGAGATCAACGTTCTTCATGAAAACCCTAGAAGAAATGCGCGATGCACAACGTGTTTATAGTGCGAGCAGAACCCACTGGGGTAATCTTGCCCGTGACAGGGAAAAATTAAAGGTTTACTGGCGGTCGCTCAAGTCACTCAACGATCATTGGGACGACATGTGATACAAGTAATTGTAACAAGGACATCGATTAAGATTCATCGATTAACAAGCGAGGACCATCGACATCGGATCATCGGCTCTGAGAAAGACGAAGTCGTCGAAACGTTAGCCGAAAATAAACATCATTATCAACCTCGTGTAAGCTCATCAAAGAAAGAATACATATTGATTAGTGATACCGAGGTTCAGGGAAAGTCGGTTTCGAAATTTTACAAGTAATTGTGTTTTGTATTCTTCAACCTATCTACTCAGTCCATTACAAAAGCTACACTATCCGAGCCTAAACTTTAGTCCTTGGTTTTTAAGTGACTCATCTGTGTGGTGCAGTGGTTAGAGGTGCCCTTTAAAACACATGTGGTTCGATCCCGGAAAACTAGTTTGGAAGGACAAAAACACTGAATTGATATCACAACCATAATTTTTATTTGTTCCCTATTATTATTTCTCACGGCAGAGTGCGATATGAAGTACAACCACTATGATGCTGAAATATTTGCAAAACATGGATCCCACGACAGATCGGAACCTATGATTACCCCTTGCGGGGCCCACATGTTAGCCGTTGCACCACTGAGACACTTGCTTTGCTTTCCATGTGCCTGAATTTGGCTTGTGGTTCAAGTTTTGCAAATATTTCAGCATCATAATGATTGTATTCACATAATAATTCCCCGGCATGAAAAATAATAGGCAGCATATGAAAACTAAAACGTTGTGATTTCGACTACCGCTTCAGCTTAACTGGGACCAATGCCGATTTTGCTCCTCAGATCATTCCCGTTGACAGGTGATTGCTGATGGCATCGTTAGGGTAAAAAACAGGCTGAGAGAAAGGCATAGCTAGGGTCTGAGTGCTGCAGTTGGAAACGCATGAACCGGGTTCGTATCAGTGCTGGCGTCCAAGTTTTGCAAGTATCACAACATCGTAGTGACTGACTCAATCCATTACATAGGCCAAATACGCATTCAACCACTTCTGACGATACGTGATAAAGTCGAAAGCATGGCACGTCCTTCAGGAATTGATCGACACCCATAGCTTTTTAGAGCCTTGATCTCTACGTTATTCCTGCGTGCTGAATTCATTATAGGCCGATTGCTTGGTAATATATTTGTATAACGGTTTAATCACTCAAATTTGAGGTTTGGCATAGTGACAGCGCTCCTACGAGACCGGTTTGAAGCAACACACACCACAGTATAACACTATACTTGCTGCATCTAGCGTGTCTTAACATGTTCCTATTCTAATCATGTATTATTAACAGGATTTATCCCTGTGTTATATTATTTGCTCTCATAATCTTCACTTTCTGACTTCAGCTCACGGTGTAGACTTCAATTGTTAAACCCTCTTTCTATATAAGGACTTTTATTCACCATCGAGCTTCCGCTCGACCATATTTTCATGGACAGTGACATACATTATCACTCGAAAGACCCACTTTCTATAAACCTCGGCCTAAATAGTCGATATATCTACATGTGATCTTACGAACTGCCCAGTTGATCTGACGCGATGTTGCTATCAGTTGCTTTCGTTGTTGTTACTGTGGTTCGATGGCTGACGCTTCGATAACTTCACCTTTTTCAGAGCCGGGACGTATTTTGTTTAACAGTATCGATATAATTCGATGAAATATTTATAATATTAATTGGGGCCTATCATATAAATGAACGCCATATTTATCAAAAACTGCTCACCCTGCTGTTGCGTATTGGACTGCCCGTGTGTTGCTCAAGTGGAATGACGAGTGGGACCCACCCAGATCAAGAAAAGTTGTGGGTCACATGTGATAGTGCGACAGTAGTCTTCCTGGTTCATATTTGGACTTTTGAAATGTATCCAAAACGCTTGGATTTTTGGGTGTTGATATTTTTGATTTCTACGCTATGTTCCTGACAATCACTTCAAAATCATCATCTTTGTGTTTTTCGGACCAATGTATGCCTAGAATAGTGCTTTGATGATTTTTAAGTTTCCCATCTAGATGTTCTTTTATGTGGACACAGAGCGGTCTACGCGTTTCCACAATGTATTCTTCACCACATGCCTCAAATGAGGTCAAGTATATTGAACCTAAACTCATCCAATCTCCTACTTTTCCGTTGGGGCAGATTATACTGTTTTATGAGTCGTACAAATGATTATAGAGCCTATTGCGGACTAATTGACGGTTTAGGGTAATGCGTGAGTGGTCAATAACCTCTTCATAATTTCTTGGACCGCTTTTTCTAGGTTATATCTTAATGGCGTAACTTATTTCGTTTGATTATGAAGGGTAGCTTGAATGTGATCTCATTTTGGTATGAAACACTATTTTGGGACATAACCCTACCTTTTGATCTGAATGGAGTGGCTTCTGCTTCGTAACCTTCGCAAACGACACTTTTCGCGCCAAGTTTACCGGTTCCTCCCTGTTCTGTTCTTCTGTGCGCACATTCTTAGCTGTTGGGGACATTTTTTTTAATGAGTGTGTTCTTCATGTGTGAAGTATGAGAAGAAAGGTATTGTATTAGTATGTTCTTACTACTTAGTTTTCGATACCATTTCGTCATTTGGCCACATTCTGAAGGAATTATTTGGATTGGATGTTTAGGAATGGAAGCCAGTTCTCGGTTGGTTTTGATCACGTAAATTTCACATACTTAGACTGCTTACAACAGTTCAAAGCACTTGTCTATTTGTTTTTGTGTGGTGAAGGCGATGAAGCAGTCGTCCAAATATAGACGGTAAAATGAGGGAGTAAGGGTTGGTGATCTACCGAATAATATGAGGAAAAAGGATAAAGCCATCGACGTTGATCAATCCTTGAGGGGTGCACCATGTATTCGACTTCATTAAGCACCGCTAGAGGTGACTGAATGAATATCTGGCCTTTACAATGACTCGCGGTGGCCCACCGATGTATCGAGCAAGTGCTGCCATCCTTCCAGACAAGTCTGGTAACAATTTACCGACCCCGGAGGGATCTAAGGCTTGGTGGGTCTTGTGCGCGGAGATCGATCCGATGTGTATTTCAGTGCGCCTCCGACCATTGCGTTACACGTGCTCTGTTATATAGACATCGTTACAGAAATTCCGTCCAGACTATGAAGAAGTTGGCGAAACATTAACCTTCGAACAACAGCAACAACTGTAACTGATACCAACATCGCACCAGCTCAACAAGGGCAATTGATGTAATGTCAGTTTTTTGCTCAAATCACTTAAGCAGTATGGCAGAAGATATCGTGGTGTGACTTGTTGCTTTCTATATTATCTTTACTTACTGACCGCGTCATTGTTTACATTTCAATATCCAAGCTGTTGATATCGCCCTATCGTTCTTATCCTGTTATTGTTGGTTTATATAAAGGTTTATTAACCCAGGTTTTGCATTTAGTGTGTGAGAGAATTGTACGAAGGATACCATTCTATATTGAGCTAAGAGATCATTCGGTACCGTGGTCTGACTCGGCAAACGGTATCCTACTGACAAAAATAACCCTAATGAATCTGTCATATCAAAGCCAAGATCTATTTCCCATGGAGCTGGAAGAGAGTAAAGAGAAAGCATTGTTATTTTGGGTCTGTTTGCTTGTTCGTTTATTTGTTTTTTTTTGCTTCCGGTTAATTTGCGTCACGGTGTTGTTTCAATGTGGCTTATTCAGTTCAATACATATGGTACATCCATCAATCTAGGGATTGTCAACTCATTGAGCTTGATGTGGTCCGACCACTTGCCGTCGCTGTTGAATTGCTTGTAAGTTTTATTTGATACACTTTTATTGGGCTGCCCGAACCTTAAGGGCTTTTGTTTGTTTGATTTTGGTTAGATAATTAGATGTTCTGTAATGATGGTATGATACAGTTTTACTTGTCTTTTTTGAAAATGGTTTGTTCCATTTGCCAGCATGTCGACAGACATTGGTGGTTTCCTTCGAAATGGATAGCTTCTACTTGAAATATTGTCATTCGTCGTCAAATATTCTAAATAGTGCTCCTCTCTTATATCGATTGAAAATAGTGGGACGTAGTGGCGTAGTGGTTAGCGACACAATTCATCAAGAAGCAAGGTGATGGTTCAACCACCTCCCAACGTTGTCATCCAGTCCATATGGGAACGCCTTAGCTACGTAACCTCAAAGATTGCCAGGAGATTCTACTCGGCTAGCATTCTACGATATTCATAAAGAAGGTGAAGACCTAAGGCATAAGCCGAAATAGCATGGAAAATGTTCTAAGACCATTGTGGAAAATGAATGCAAGGAAAGTGAATCGAATGCACGAAGTACTGGGATCTGCACAGTATATGTGATGATGGGTTATTTAATATAAATACAAGAGTATATTCGTTGAAAATCACAATGAGTCATATAGATGGGATCTTCTTTGTCAGTCCCAATCACCAATGTTTGGTTTGTCTTCGAATGATTACGCCGCTACATTTGTGCAAGCCAACGCTTTAATGGCTGTGTTAACTTTTTTATTTACTGCCTACTACAATTTTCACTTCAGGGTAATGCGAAGTCAACCACAATGATCCTGAGATATTCGCAAAACTCCGCACTGCAGGTGTCTGCGCTGTGAATCTAACACGCTTTTACCCTTTCCGAGGATTAAAGAATTCACTACCACACCATGCGGGTCCTTCGGGGTCGCGTTTATCTCAGCTTTCTATCTACCAATACCATCAGTAATCACCCGTCAACAGAATTGATTTGAGGAGCCCAAATTGGTGTTGAAGCTAGTTAAACTGTGGCTGCAGTCGATATAATGAGAGGAGCTGATGGTGGGCTAATGGACAGAACAGTATGGTAATGAACATCTAGTCGTCTTCTGAGGCCGCCATCTACGAAGAAATCACACATGTTTGTTAACTACGCTGACCGACAGCAGGACGGAGTTTTTAGAGTGGCGAGCCCATCATATAGTTGTCATGCACAAAACAGATCACTTCCTTTGCCATTAAACACGGGCGATTATTTTGTGTTGAAACCACACGATTCCTGAAAATGGACCTAGCTACTACATTTGCAAGGCGAAAACTACTCTGTGTCATCGTTAAGTCGCCGTACAATCGTTATTGGATATCACTGTAAGTAACTGCAACCGCTTGGTCTTGTGAGGTAATGATTTCTGGATTATATTGTTCTATTGTCACCATGTTGGATAAAATTGATCATTGCGTATTGGGGTTTGATAGAGCTTTAAAGAAATGTTTTAATCTCCGGATAGATGGAGTTTAATACTCAGTGTTTAATACAGTATATGAATAATAAATGTATAGCTTATTTCCCGCAATAAACATTTTTGAAATGATATTTTCTTGCTGGAAATTTTTCATTTGTCAGTTGTAATTTTCTTGCGAAGGTGTCGGATGAAGATAGTAGGTTTGATATTTCGATTTTTCCTTCTTGTTAATTATTGTTTTTTCAGACGTACGAACGAAAATACGAGAATCACTGCTCCAAGTGCTCTGTCCTCGTACGAAGGTTTATTTTCCCATTTCCTCAAGGCAAATGTACACGACGAAATCATTGCGTCGCTCTCAGTGGAGAAAGCAGCTGCTGGAGACGCCTTAGAGATTGCAAAAGTATGAGTTCAAATATCATTTGTATATTAACATTCTTGCTGGGAATATTAGATTCAATCATACGGATTTCTTGTCGAAGAAGAAATTTCCAAAGTAGATTTGCTTTAGACTATTAAAAGGTATGACTTCAAAAGTACATTCGTATTTCGTGGAATGTATACCATAAAGATGTCGAAAAGTTATAGCAGTTGTAGAGCATCTTACGCGTATAACTCGTCTCTACAGTTTTAGCTCATTTAAACTTATAAAAAATTTGAACTCAGCTTATAGGTTAATGAGTTACTATGAGCTAAAGAGTTTCCTACTTGGATATTTGGATGGCCCGTCTTCACTGGTTATGAGAGCGTCAGCATAGTTTCCACTTTTTTTGGGGTTTTGCTGGTGTAGCTATTGTGGTTACCTGGAGTCCTGAGGCTCAGCCAGCCTAAGGTCTATCCCAGGTCGTCACCACCACAGGTAGTCGCCGCCCTCGTGGATCAGAGGGAGATTTGCCACCAAGCGACTAGTTTGATATCAGGACGGTGGTGGATCCTGGCATTGCTTTACTCTTAGCTTGGTTTCTTGGTGGAACCGCCGGACTCAGCGTGGAAGGCCCTGCCGGGGTAATTAATCCCCTCGTTATACATTGCACCCAGGAGCACCTCCCATGAGGAGGTAAACCGTTGAGAGGCAAGTGGTTTCATTAGTCATTTGTCCGTATTTTCATTTGAACCTATGCGCAGTTTGAAGCAGGTACGATGGGACGTTCCTCATAGTAGTAGTTTCTTCAAATGTCGTGCGCGGTGCAGTACTTCTTCCTTTAACTTCATTGTCTTGCAATCATCACCTGGTTGTGCCCGTGTTTTGGTTCGATTGCGATTTGACGACCACTGTTAGTGTGCTCTCATAAACATTTTTAATGCTGATCCAGAGTGATTTGCCATACAATTCTGTGACAGTCATGCTTGAGGGTCCTTGGGTTTTCACCGCAACCATACAACCACCTATGTGGGATGAAGGTGGGTGTTCTACCTTACAATTTGGAATCCTTCAGGATGAGAGCGTTGCTTACGACCAACCGACCTCCCTCTGGAAGATAAAGCTTATTGTAGAACACCTTATAAGTAGAATATGATGAGCAATGAAAATAGATTTCCATGAGATGCAGAATACGGAGTACTTGGTATATTACACTACTTAACTGCACCACATAGTGAGTGTCAATAAAACACTAAAGTGTTATCATCAAAACATTTTTGCGCTACGAATCCCTGTGGCGATGCAGATGTGTTTTTCTACGTTTCCTAAACTCGCGCTCCAGTTTTCGTTATAGTATAAATAGCCGTAGATGGTTGTGAAAGGTACCATTGTGAATGAAAATCCTTAAGAGGTCTGGTATTTTAGAATGAGATTAATTTTATTCATCTTTCATTAGTTGAAAGATCTAGGATCAAACACTAATTTTCTGTGAATATTGGCAATTTTGTTATGAACAACAATGTTTTTAAAACCACAACGATGCTGAGATATTCGCAAAACTTGAACCTCGAGTCAGGACGAGCCACGATTACCGTTTCCGAGGTCTCACGTATTAGGCACTGCACCACGGAGGCCTTTGCTCTGCGTTTCTCTCAGCTAGGTATCTGCCTAACGGTGCCATCAGCATTAGGAATTGATCTGGAGAGCATAAATCGGCATTGAACCCAGTTAAGCTGAGACTGTAGTCGAAATCATAATCTTAGCCTTTTACTTGCTGCCTACTATAATTGAAGCTGGGAGAAACGCAGAGCAAGGGCCTCTGTGTGGCAGTGTGTAATATGTGAGCCACCGGAAAGGGTAACCGTGGTTCGATCTGGCCCATAGTCCACGTTTTGCGAATATCTCAGCATCATTGTGGTTGAGTTCGCATAATACCCTGCCCTGAAAAATTATAGTAGGCAAGAAATAAAGGACGAACATAGGCAGTTTTGTTGCAAACAATAATGACGGGTGATTGCTGATGGCAAAAAAGATCGATAGAACTAGCTGAGAGACAGGCAAGACGAAGGACCCGGATGGTGTAGTGGTGAAGTGCGCTGCTCCCAGGTAAGGACAACAGCGCGTGTTTGTTCCCCATTGCATACACCTGTGGTCCGGAGTTTTGCAAATATCTCAGCATTTCATGCAAACAATAATGTTGATAATTGCTTGTTGGTACTTCTAGTTCCTAGCTGTATTGCTCAATGAATTCCGCATCTCAAAGCCAGATGTTATCACCGAAAGTGTTGCCGTCATGCAGAGAGATGGTCACGATGTTCCACTGAAAGAAATTGTAGGTTTCTTGGTGTACGCATTCTTCTGTGGAGTAGTGTTAAGTTGGGAGTACCTCAATGCGTTAGGAATAGGTTCCCGGGTTTACTGGTTTTTTCCGGAAATCAATGTCAGGTTGCTACTTGTATTTTAAAAGTGGTATGTATCACCTCAGAATAATGTTTATTAATCGAATTAAAACACTAGAACCTACATTTTTTTTGTAGCCAAGAAAGTGGTTTACTCATACTAGTTGATAAAATCTTTCACTGCTTTCGCGGGAGACACTTCAAGACGAGAAATTTTTCCTTTTCATCCATTTCTTTCGGAATCCGCTTATGAAGCTTATTCGAGTTTCCAAATTTCTTTGGGTGCACCAAAACAGTTGAATTCCCTAGACCGTGTGTTCATGGATGGTCTCGAACAGTTGTGCATGTGTTCCCATCGAAGTCTTCTATTCATCGTCGTCAATAGGAGAAGGATACTTGCAACCTTCCTGAACTTGAAGGTCTAATTCGCCGAAATGAGGCTTTTAACTCTCTAGAGGTTGCACTGTGCTTTCGTTAATATTTCCTTCTTTTACGCTATAAATGCTTCGAGCCGTTTGCTCTACAGACGTCTGCATTTGAGTTCCTAGACGCAAATTTGCCGAAATTGGTGTTGCGAAATCTGAAATTTTAGCCTTTAAAGTTTGTTAAAAATAGAGTTTGTATTGCAATTTAATTATACAGAGCGAAAATGCATAAGATGAGTTTTGCAATGATTTATAAAAGTATAGGATTGGGAAGAGAAGGAGAGAACTTGCTGGAACATATGCAAGGAAAGGGAACTCACATATAGGACATTAATTTCCGGACATAGTGGCCCCATATAGAAGCTTACAGTTGTGCTCTTCGTAGTTGTGACATACCTTTGTTTCATATCGTCGGAATTGGTGCTCTTTACTTTTAATGATTTTGCGCCTTTTTAACCAGTTGAACGCATTTGATGGAGATCAAAGTGCCTGGTGGTCAGTGATGATTAAACGTTCTGATGCCAATGTCACACTGGCCAATTCACAGTATGCTACACCACGATGGTCCAGTTTATCAGTGGAAGAATTTTCGGGAATGTCAGGTATTCTTTTTTTGTAATTTACTGATTTCTTATTATTCGACTGTTGGATATAATCTTCAGTTGGTCAACCATCATTTGCCACTCCATGTGGTCCAAACCGACGGCGTTTTAGTAGCGTTAACTCGGATTTCCACATGGTTGCACGTTGTGGTGGTAGTCCACTTATGGACACAATTAACTCTCCGAAAGTTAGGTAACTGTCAGCAGAATTTTACTTAAATTTTTAAAATTGGAAGAAAATTTCAGAATTAGAATTTTACTGAACTTCTTGTTTTTTTTGCCAATTTGATAAGTGTCAATTAAGAGAATTACGACGCGAACGCGAAATCAAAGCTTTGAGAAGACAGCTAAATGAGATTGAGGATCAATTGATGAACTCCGAATCGCAAGTTTCAGAGTCAACGACTAAAATTGAGTCGCTGATTGGGGAGTAAGTGTCAAAAGTCTCACATTCTTCATAACTGTTTTAATACTTAGAGCTTTTATCCACTACAGCAGAAGGAAATTTTGCATTTATTAACTTAAGAATAGCAAAGAAGAACGAACGTATCCGTAGTTTGGAATCGAGTGGAAAATTGTCACAAAGATCTCAAGAAGAATTGGAAGCTAAAGTTGTGGTATTAACTAAGCAACTGGAAGGATACAAACGGCAGTGTGATAGTCAGAAAGAGAGGGTAGGTTGTAAAAGGTTTTATTTATTTTTTTCGTTCTCACATCTTTCCATTATTTGTTTAGTTGGCAGCTTATAAGGTGAATGTGGAGGAATTGGAAGAAAAGCAAATGAATTTGGTTGAACAACTGGAAACTAAAGGTGGTTCTATGGCTGCCTTAGAAAGAGAGTTGCATGACGTTAAAGATGAGGCAGTAAAATGTCTACAGGTGCCTTTATATTCTCATAAAATATGACATACTTCTCCATAATTTAGTTTTCAGCAAGTGAGAATCTTAGACAATGAACGTAACACTCTTATAAGACTACTGGAGGAGGAAAGGCGAGCTGCGAAATCAGAAAGGGAGCAGTATCAAGGAGCCATTTCTGATTGGCGGAAACGACTAGAGACAGAAGTGAAACTTTAACGTGTTCGGGAAAAAGAAGCAGAATGGGAAATTGGATAGATTAAGGAAGTCCAACTAACACCATTCATTTGTTCTTCAGACTGCGAACGCCATGTCTCTCTACACAAATGAAATGGAAAAAAACGCTTTGCTTCAGCAAGAGATTCGGGAAAAGACTGAGAAATTAAAGAACACTCGAGTTTTATACGAATCTGACAAACGTTCTTGTGAAAACGCCATTGAAGAATTAAAAAGGCGCTTACAAGGCAAACACGACGCCGTAGGTTTGGTGAAGATTTGTGCCGGTTACCATGAAAAAAATTTGTTTGGTTTTCAGGCAGTGAAAAGTCTTGCTCAAGCAAAGGCGAAGCTTTGTCGTCAGGAGGCACGCCATAAAAAATTTGTTTCTGAACACGAAGCGGTCGTGCAACAGCTTGAAAGTGTCCATTTGGCGGAAATTATCCAACGTGACGCAAAGATAAGTGCTGCTTGTATTCGTATAGGAGAGGTCGGTTACCACTTTAAATGTATTTGGTAGAATTGCAACATTATAATATACGTACGTTATGTTTTCGGTAGTTTTTAGTTGGAGGCCATTGTGGTTGACCGGGAGCGCACTATACTGGAACAGCGAAAGGATCTAGCTAACATAACAACGGAAAGGAACGCGACTGATTCGAAATTAGCCAGTGTACAAATTGTTCTTGAGAGGAAGGATGATCAGCTTAATGAGGCCACTATCATGATCGAAAAGCTCAAGGAAGAAATGGGATCCATTACGTCGAAATACAACGACACAAACCGCTCTTTGGAAATTGTGCAAGCCGAATGTTTAGAGCTACGGTCTAGTGTTAACCAAAAGGACGTGGAAATTTCTGAACATGTTAAAGATTTGAAATCATTAGCGGAAGAGCATAGCAAAGCATTGGACGAGCTTAAACAGACGAAACAATACCTTGAGGAAGAGCGGAAACTGCTTAAATGTCAAGATTCTGAAGTGAGAGCCGTAATTGAGGATTTAAAGGAAAAGGTTCGTAGCACTTCTATCATATTTTCAGCACTATTTTAGTTTACATAATCTACTTGGTTTTTCTTATACTTTTTCAGCATTTGTGTCTATTATTTATACTTGGATCCTCCCAATGATTCACCGACTGATTGTGAGTTCGTGCTGTTTCTTGGTGTCGGACTACGATTTACAGTGAGAGTTTTATCCCATGAGAGGCTCTCTAAAGCTCAGAATGAGTTGGACGTTTCCATCCGGAGACCCGGCTAAGAAACCAATACCGGGCTTAACGACCATCCTGGTATCAAATTAGTCGCAAGGTGGCAAATCTCCCTCTAATCCACAATGACCAGCGACTGCTTGAGGTAACGGCTTAAGCGAGGTTTCGGCTGAGCTAAAATAGAGACTCCAAGGAACCGCAAATGGTGCAATCAGCAACGAACCAAATTCAATACCTCAAACACTGCGCCTTCTCGTCTACGGCGGCGAGCGGTGAGATAACAGGTGAGGGATGACCAATCTCGGGCCATACAACGTTACTGGAACCCACGAACGAGCACACCCACGGCACACTATGGAGACGGCTTCCTGTTCTTCACCATAGCATCAGAACGATCTCGTCGGGCGCCAATCTTTGCGCTCTTCTTGAGGTCAGTAGTTGCATGAAATTTCATGTTATCACCCTACAAGACGAAAATCAGCAAGACCGACATATCCCAATTATATGACAGGACCTTTGTCATTTGTCGAAGGTAAATTCCGTTGTGGAATTTCGGTGACGTTGGCTTTGTCAGACATCCATGTTTCCTATTAGTTCATCTTATACGAGATCGTATGACCTCTTTTGGCCGCTCTTCGTTTTCAACCTGGGCTCTGCAAAAAGTCGGCATCTTTAACTGCTGCTCATTACCTTGGGCAGCTGATGAGAACAAGCAGGACACTTTCTATAACCACTTAGAGGAGGTAATTTGCAACGAAGAGTCCTATAAATTCCTTATTGAAGACTCCAATGTTAGAATAGCGAAAACCGACGAAAATGAGTACAGAAGAGGGAAATTCTGCGTAAAAGATCGTAAAGAAAATAGAAACTGGCTTGGGTGAGTGGGATGTTCAATGGAAATCGTCAGAAAACTCTTTTCGGATATGAAGCACCAATCTCATATTGCATTTCGACACTCAGGAACACTCGTAACCACAGTGATGCAGTAAACCATTGTGGAGCTTATTTACGATGACCGTAAAAATGTAGACCTTAACTAAGCACCATCTACTTCTTTGCGTCACATTGTCTTTTTCTATCACCGCTAAGTATGTTTACGTAATTTTTGAAACGGCTTCAATTTTAATCTTATAAACTGTAAACATTAGCGCAGTATTGTTTGCGTTGCTCTCAGATATTTGCCCCAGAATAAAGACAAGGAAGAGTGGAAGGTTAAAGAGCAAAACTTTCAATGCCTTTTTGATCTGTACCACCTGCTGTCGCCTTGATCGTCGAATGGATCGTGAGGGCCCCAGTAAATCTTCTACTCTGTCGCGTGCAAGAGTAGCCGGCCGAGTGGGTTCCGTTTGCTTTAGGGACTCGTTTAGCATTATATCTTTCTTCCAGGACTTTAGTGAAGAACTCTAACCATCGGGTCTATGGTCTTCATGTAGTGAGTTTGACTTCGCGAGGAATCCTTTAACCAACGGTTTTGTTTATCGCTTGTCGTACACACGCATTACTACCCGGCCCACCTTATCTTCGACAGTTTGACGTGTAAAACGGCATCTTTGGTTTTTGGTCGCTGACGTAGGTCGGAGCTTTGGAACACTTTCCTCATTGTGTGGTACGAGATACTTCTAGCGTCTTACTTTCTACTGCGCGTTCAATATCGCTGAGTGGTCTTCTCAGTTCCTATTTACGTAGCAACCAGGTTTCTGGCGCATAGGTTAAGGCAGAATGAATCGTGGAGTCGAAACGTCGGTTGGCAGGGGTGGAGTGTTCTTTTTCCATTTATTACGTCCTCGATACTTTTGAAAACTCGCCAACTGCTCACTTCCTTTTATTCAATTCTGGAGCTAAGTCGTTCATTATGTCGGTTTCCCGAACTAAGCAGACGTTGCTGGAGCATTCGGAGATATTGATTCCATTGTCTTGATTCCATGTCCAGCATTGAAAGTGAATTGCGAGTTACCATAAATGGTCTTCGTCGTCATGTCATGGTAAACTTAGACAGTCTCTCATCCTGCTCATTCCGTTCTAATCCTTGAGTCCTAATACGACTTTCTACTAGATCCAATCTTAGCGTCAAAACCTTAAGCAATGTATAGTCTTCTCTACAGAGGTTCTCCGATTCTATTTAAAATGATTCAATTTCTTCTTCGTCATAACTTGATGTCGGTTTGTAGACGATGAAGATTGTTAAAGCCGATACTGGTCCACATCTATCCAGTCGTAAACGTTGGATTTTGGTTGTTAGATCTTCGAATGTATCGATATTCATGGCCAAACTTGCTTGCAAGACAGCGTCGACGCCGAGTTACCGCATGTTCCGAGTAGCAGTTCTACGGTTTCAATAGACGGCGTTTAATGTAGCGCCTTCTCGTCTCAGCTTGTCCAATGACGTCGTACCATATCCTTTTAGCCCGCATCATCGGGTCGCTTATGGAGGATTCAGATGCAAATGAGCGTACTTTGTAGGTTTAAATCGTTACCTTAGTCCTTCAGGATTTAGGCAACCCAGAATGATCCTGATATTCTAGTAGCCTTTTAGTAATCGTCCTACCGAACGCTTCTGTATTGGGGCTCTTTCAGGGTTAAGGGAAGCACTCCTGTTTATTTTACTATGTTTAGCTTCTGAAATACACGTATAGCTTGCCGAGCTCTAAACGCGGTAATTGGGCATACTAACGGGTAGCGCTTACCTGTATCTCTCAGAGTAGACGCGGAAGCTTATTTGTGGGGTTTACTCCTAACCCTACTAACCGCTTCCCACATAATTCTCTGTTACTTGATTGCAAACTTTTGGTTGAGCTGACTCGTAGAATAGCATCCACATAACCAGAATACACCCACGCACACATGCATGAATGTCCTCGTAAACACAAGGTATATGCTAAATCGGCTCAACAGAAACACGGAGCCCATCCCCTAGATCCATCTACGTCTCAGAAAAGCAGAGGGTGTGTTTTGGTCCGCGATTTACCCGCTATTGGCCACTTGGGGACGAGCCACGTTGCCTAACCGACATGAGATCCGTCCATGACTGAAATCCATGATGCCTTTCTGGTGCATCCAAAAAAGAACTGGATTATTTAGTATTTATCTACCGCACGGTTAAATTCTGTTCTGAAATTTTCTACATTGCCGCGTTAACTGAAGGTATTTCTGATCTTGAAGAAGGGCAGTTTCGAGATCCAAGAACTAGATAAGGTTGGAGAATTTGGGACTCATTCTGATATTGTTTGTGAAAGTATTATTATTTTCTAAATGATCTCGCTCAACAATCATTTTTGTTTAGTTAATGGCATTGGAAGACAGGATTCGACATCATGCAGATGCTTTGTCACTGTTGGAAGAGAGAAGCAAATCAATTCGTTGTGTTGAACAAACCAATGAAGTGCGTGTACTTTAGGATCTACTTTGATGTGCAGAAGTAACTTACTTTTCTATGCAGGATTACCCGCTCTTCCGTTGTTCTATGATCATGTTCTTTCTTTCTTTTTTAAACCTGAACGAATGAAGAAAACATTTTTAGGAGCTTTTCGATGGAGCATGTGGACAACTGCATAGAAAAATTACGGTGAAAGGAAAAGATCTGCTTGGTTTGCTGATGAGGTTCGAAATTCTGGAGGTGCGTTTGATGTCGTGGAACATAAAATTTATTCTTAACTTCAAGTGTTTCAGACCGCCATCTTGCTCGTCTTAGAAAAGAATAATAAGCTTGAGTTGGAAATTGCAAGTTTGAAAGAAGAAAGTGTTGTTTGGCGTAAATATTTGTACACGTCAAACTTCAACGAGATTTCTTGTCAGACTGAATTACATGAAACGGTAACCTTTTTGTCAATTTTTACAGTAAAATTACGTTGTGCGCTGGTAGTCCAGGAGCTCGAGTATAGTTTAAAAAAGGGAATATATGTAAGATAGATAGGGATGCATTACTCATCATGTGGCGCTTAAAGTTGAAATGAATTTTCAGACAGTGTCAGCTGTGTGATATAAGCGAATAGATAATTTTAATGGTGTGGTTTTAATGAAACATTGGCCTTAGATATTTTGGTGTTGTAGACGAAATCATTGCTGAAGAACGATACATCAATAAATAATGATTCGTACACGGTGCTGTTAGGTTAGTTGTGCCTTGCCTTTTCCCAAATACTTTAGTTGTTTACTCTTTACATGTTTTAGAGATTTTAGAACTTCTTAAAATTGAAGAAGAACTACCATTTTGTGCGATGGAAACTTCACATAGAGAATCGGTTGGTTATTATTGTCAAATAATAGCCGATAAGCTTCCGAATTCCTTCAGTATTCCTGGAAGGGTATCTGTAAAAGATGCGAATCATCTAATTACTCGAGCAGGCACCTATGGAATCTGTTTGTCTCAATCGTGTGTCGAAGCCATTCACGGGAGACAGTTCGGGTTGGGGTGTATAAAGGATTGTATTATCAATAATCAGGACAAGGGTGATATTACAGGATTTATTAATACACAATAGCTGACGTTTTGGCGGATTTCGCCTTTCGCAGAGCCTAGAAAGGTCAAGTTGACTGCAATCTACATCGAGAAACACCTCAGTAACTAAACAGAAGAAATATTGAACCAGGATTCCAATCGCATTGAAAACGAAATAGCTTCTTCGCACATTCACCGCTTTCCAAAAGTTTTCTACTGAGTATTTCACCAAGAAACCAACCGCAAAGAGGTCACGCGAAAACTTCGTGGCCCACAGAGTTCGTTCATAAGCCTCTCATATTTAAATATCAGTGTTAATACCTGAGTCTTAATAATACCTTAATATTGACCTGAGCGAGGCACATTCCTGGCTCATGTATTACTCTGTGCGGCATGTTTCGACAAAAATAATTGGTGGTCTTACAAAGAACAAAGCAGTGGCTGTTGAAAATAAGCTGTTTATTTTGCGAATGGAAATTTATGTGTTTTCTCCCGCTGAGGTTAAGAAAGTGCTTGGCTGAGTAGATTGCATGCCAATTTGACCATTCCAAGCTTTGAAGCAGGCGAAACCGCCGAAATGTCAGCTGTTGTGTGTTAATAAATGCTGTAGTCGAATAGTCGAAACAGTGTACTGATAGATATTGATTTCTTGATGTAGTTCCTGGTATGTTCTTATATGCTGTGAATCCTAAAACCATAAATGAAGCGATACTCTTCCGTTTCTTATTTCCACAAAATTTTCACTGTTGAAATGGTTTTAGAAGGGAATAGAGGACAAAAGTGCTATCAACTGCGTGTCATCTTCTGTTTCCAACGGTTTACAGCTGCGGCATCAAAATGACCCTTTGAACATTGCCTCGAGAAGCAATAGCGTTGCAAACTCAGCACACAGCGGTGTTCGTAGCAGCGCCTCTATACCGAAGTCAAACAGCTCGAAGCTTCCATCAGTGAAGTCTTGTAAGTAAATATTCAACTTTTTCATTTGTTATAGCCCTCATGTTGTTGACTAATGGAAAATTTTGCTGATTTTCCACGTCTTTATTTTTTCATCGCTTTACTACGTAGTGAGTGTTTTCCTGTTCAAGTGATGACTAGATAGTTTTCTGAAGTATAATCCAAATTTTGTAGTTGAAAAGCAACATGTTTACCATTGAAAATTTGTTTTACCATTAACTGTGAATAGATCTCTCTGTTTAGATGCTTTGGCAGCTAAACACTCTGCAAATTTAGATACAGATCGATCCAGAGTCAATGAGCTGCAAAGAGGAAACGCGTGAGTTTTTAAGACCTTATTTAGCTGTTTTTTCTTATTTTTAACTTTTATTCAGTTTTTTGTCCGCCGGGTTTGCTCTTTTTTGCTTCTTAGTCAAATTCTCTTCAACATAGTAGTACTCTACAGTTGTAGAATGTATTTTAAATCTTTAACTGGATGTTCCGTAATTTTGTAATACTCTACTATGTTCAGTTATGGTTATAACGAGATACAGCAAACTGGTCTATACTTCACCGTGAATTGAAATTTGAGTAAATCGAGCGTTTTCCTTAGCCGACATGGGACCTTTCCCTTCTACTTGAGGTAGTATTCCCCTTTCCACAGAAAGGGATATTGACTTTGTATATTCATTCGTGTTTTGAGGAAATAGCGTTGTCGACAACATCGTTAGGAAATACATAGGATCAAAGACCTTGCTAGTGCTAAAAGAATCGGGTAGTTCTGAAGTAGTCAAGAGATATCTACCTGCGGAAACACTCGAGCTGATTCGTCAAAGTGGAGTCCGTAGGCATTCTCCAACTTCTATCAGCGCTCCGAAAGCGACAGAATGGGTTTTAATTTTAATCTTAAAGAATCTGAAAGTAAAATAAAGCAGATAGCTGAAGATTAAAATCCTAATGATCATGAACTAAATCCACAAAACGTGCCGAGACTTGGCTAAATATAGGACCAACATGGTTGTTATCAAGAACCTTGGTAAAGTAGTCAGTGCATCAAGAAAGACCATAGAAAACATCCATACCTGTATGAGGTAGGGTGTTGGCGACTCTTCTTTCAAGAGTTCTGCATGCTACGTTTAATCTGAACACATGGAAGGGCTAGACCAAAATTTGAGAGGAAGCTTTGGCTACTCATTATGATTGCATTGGATCAGGTTTTCACACGCTATTTATCGGATTGTAAGGTTCCAAATGAATGATGAACTATTAGGGCCCATATCGTTATTCAACAAGCAATTCCTACACGAAATTCTTAGGTTGTCACCCGTTTTACGAGGTGTCTGCAGTAACCAAGCTCCTTATTCAAGTCCTCTTCAGGAGGATGAAGAATACTGATATCACTATGTCTTTGTCTCGCTTTCGTCGACTTGAGAAGGCTTTCGTCTCAATTGGGCAGAAGCGGTCGCGGATGATCAGGATAGCACGGCGTCTTTACTTAATATGTGGAAGTCTTTCATGTACTAGCTCGTTGAAGTTATTCAACACAACTTCGGTGAAAACCAGCCACGCAACTCACCGTAATCAATTCGGTGATAGAATGGTTTTCATAGCATTACACATGACCACATCGGAAGAAATATAGCCCGATTTCGACAGTGCTTGTAGAATCTGTCCTCGATTGACCCTGCAGAAAATGATATTAAGGGAACCAGATTTGTTCCTTATGCCCTGTTCCCATTCAAGGACGAAAACAAATAACCCTGAATACTTCAGCTTTATGTAGCTACAGAGCTGAGGAGGAGTAGACGAACGAAGCAAGATGAAATTCCATGTAGCGTTGTCGAACACACACTCATGAAAACGACTATATCAAGGTGGTGCTGCTAAAAGTATCGTATACCACGTATGTGAGAGATTGAATCTAAAATTCCGAGCTACGTCATGAGTTAAAGACATTGATCGGAGATTGCCGCATTAGCCAAGATATCCAAAACGAGGTTGGGATATGTGATGTGTCTTAGCGAGTGAGTGGACATGAACTGTTGCTAACCAGCTCACGTTTGACGGGAATGCAACGTATTAGAAAAGGGAAATAACATAACCGCAAATTGAAGCCGAGGTTACATGCGACATCGACCACCTACGTGGATATCCTTTGCAAGGCATCGAAACTGTTGGCAGAAATGTTCTGATCCGCTTGACATGTGGAAAAGGGTTACCTGTGTATCTAAATACTACAAGCGAGAATATTTTATACTGCAAAGATGTGTTTTGGCGTACGTTCTAATTTTTAAGGATGCTGCATCCAGCCATGCCTTGTGCGTACGCCACAGAAGTTACGGCATATGATTCACCTTCGGGAAGTGAAAATGTAATGAAATATGGCAGCAAAAGCGCAAAGAGAAAGAGAGGAATGAATGTAATAATGTTTGACTGTGATTTTGTAAAATAACCGATATTAAGTTTTTTTTTAAGTTTTTCCTACAAGTCTCCTCATACGTGAAGAGAAAATTACCTCTTTCGGATTCATCCAACCGCCAACGGAAACACTCGTAAAGACTTTTCCTCAGTTGTCTACAGTAGATGTTTTTCAACAAAAGCTTTAGCTTGATTGACTCTTTAGAATAGCAAATAGAAGTTTTCCACTCGATAAGTTGTAATCTATTTAAATGCGTAGAACATGAACTTATTGTCGTAAACGTAACCTTAATAGTTCTTACTGATAGTGCTGTTTAGAACTATTTGTTTTTGCAAAATCCACTCACATTTATTGGTAGTTACTGTTGCGTTGTGAAACTTAACGAATTTTTAAATGTGTTGTTTGTATGTTCTGTAATTGTGATATCACGGTTTGTGTTGTGAATAGAACTCAATGCATCCGGCCACAGAGCACTCCAGTTGTCTTCTGATTGTGTGTCTATGGGTAGATAGTTCATTTGTAATGGTGACCTATCAGTTTCTTCAGTTCCTTGTTGAAGCGTTCGTTGATGGAAATTAAAGATGTTACTATATCTTGACTGAAAAAAAGCCGAATAAAAGTTTTATACCAACCTTGTGTCAGCTCAATCTATTGAAAAATTACTGTTTCTCCTATAGCTTGCACAAGGCGCGTGTGGCCCAGTGGTAGGAGGCGCCCTGCAACACACGTAGAATCGGTCCCCGTGCCCATGGCCCAGCATGCCTCCCATCCCTCCGGATTCGGCAAATTGCTACTAGACTTGCCTGCGAGGATATCAGCATTGGCTCAATACATCGGTAGGCCACCGCGAGTGATTGTAAAGGCCAGATATGTATTCAATCACCTCCAAACGATGCCTAGTGAAGTCGAATGCACTGCGCATCTCATTGGTTGATCAACGCCGAGAGCTTTTAGCTTTTTACGGTTTGTACGGACGTTTTTGAAGGTTTGAAGACTGAAGGTTTTCTAAAAAGTCTATGTTAATTCTGTCATTTTAACTGCTGAGTATTCATCGTGCTTCTGCGTCTTAAACATCTGAAAAACTTCGACTGATTTCAACTCGATCGTGTGTGCAGATCTCGTGCCGCCAATATCGTTGTCACGACAACTCATATACGGAAATTTGTATGAAAACCACAGAAACGCCAAATATACCATTATTCACCATCTTGGGATGTACTGCAGTCCAAGACGATCGCGAAGTAGTGTAGTGTTCGGCGGCAATTAAGTTACCGCAACCGATTTTTTTAAACTTCTCTATAACATTGGACATCAATGCTTATCCCTTTAGAAATAAAAAACAAAATGGACAGGATATTTTAAAAACGAAAGCGAAATTTTTGTGAGATGGCTTTTCACTGTGAGAAACTCGAGCTATTACTGGTCCATAGCCATTTGAAAATGGCCATATGTTGATCAGTTTTTGATTTTCGGTTTCAAATAAACAGACGGCAATCATCATAGATCCATATGAGAAATGTCTCAATCTAGCCACTTTTGCATGCACCATACAAGTTCTTCGTATTCCATCACTGTAGAATGCTAAGCTTCAGAAACTTACGGATTTCCTGAATACATTCTCGGCATAAGCCTAGTTGTTGATCTACAAGTAATTGCCAAAGTATTTGATGAAATGTTATTCGATTTATGAAACCTTCGGTGGCTACATTACCTAAGGGGAACTTGTTTGTTGTACGATATTAAGACATGCTCTCTCTGTCAACAGTCTTAGGATCACTCACTCACAATCACTGACGAAACTCAACCATTAAAACGCATTGACAGTGATCCCATTCTGACATTCATGCAGAAAACCAAAAATCCCCGATTAAAGGATAAAAGGATAAAGCTCTTGGCGTTGATCAATCCATGGAGGATGCACCATGCATTCGACTTCATCAACATCATTTGGAGGTGATTGAATGCATATCTGGGTCTCACAATGACTCACGGTGGCCTACCGAGGTATCACGCCGGTGCTGCTATCCTCCCTGACAAGTCTGGTACCAATTTGCCGACCGCGGAGGGATAGAAGGCTTGGTGGGCCATGGGCGCGGGGATCGATTCCACGTGTGTGTCTCCTCAGGGCTCCTCCGACCACTGCACCACACGCGCCCTTCTAATCCTCCAGCAGATACGAGAAAATCCGAAAAACCTCGTAGACGATGGATGCGAGGAAACGGATCAGGTGAAAGTATTCCTAGGATCGGCACTATATGCAACGTCAAATCGTGTAAAACGATTCTCCATGCTGTTCTGGAGATAGCCCAGCTCTCGCGTTTCCACGTAGATTCGGTGTCGAAGTAGCACCTTGCTTTTTGATGTACTGCATCACTAACCACTCCGCTACCCCTCAGCTCCGCGAAAACTACATTTAAAAATATCTTCTTCGATCATTAAGCAAACTCAAAGTCGACAAAAAATATTTATTCGACTAACGTTTCGATGCCTTGGCCTTCTTCAGAGCCAGGTTGGTCCACAGTCGTTCATTCTCTCGATATGGTTTTCGTTGTCATATGAAGTCGAACTATATTTAAAAAGTAGATTTCGTGAAATACTAGTTTAGCCAAAGATTTAATAAAAGTATACGGAAGACGACTGAGAAATGGTTCGTCGAAGAACTGCTGTGATGAAGACGATTGTGAATCAGGTGTATAGTCGTCTTCAACCATTAAAACGCGCTCGACGGAAACTTGTGCGCTCTAGTCGCTACATGACAATGCCAATTTCAATGCAGCAGGGCACTGCACGGGGACTGATATGGCTGTTGTCGTTCGGTTTGCTTCTCTTCTTTATGGTTTCGTTGCCTTTCTCCTTTTTCTTTCGTTCATTTTCTCTTTCGTTCAGCATAAATCTTATCTAGGGAAATGGTTTTTTGTGTGTGAATGTTGGATGTTGCGTGTTACTAACGTGAGGTGTGCTGATGTCAAATGGCCATCAAATCTCCTGTCTTGATGTTCACGTCAGTCCTCTGTGGTTTCGATCTGGTGTCTCATCTTGCTGTAGCCGATCAACACTCACTAGCTAATTGTCTTCGTCTAGTATGGCGTGCTCTGAAGTGCAGAAGCAAGTGCTTCCTATGGAATTGGACAGAGGCGGTGCATTTGATTTCTCCAATTGTATTCGAAATATGGCTTTAGCTAGAATGGGAGGCATAGCTCCAAAAGTGCGATCTACTGGTACGACGATTGTCGCAACTACTTACAAGGTCCGTTTTTTATTCTGTCCGTATCGACCTTTTGTATTTAAATCTTTCCAGGGAGGGCTTGTGATGGGTGCTGATTCTCGGGCTACGGCAGGAAATATTATTGCTGATAAACATTGTCAGAAGGTGCACTGCCTAACCGATTCCATTTACGCATGTGGAGCTGGTACAGCCGCCGACCTTGACCAGGTATTCTTCCGTTTTCATTCTTTTTTTCTATAATTTTTATGTAGTTAGTGATGTGCCTCCCATCGATTCCTTTTTTTGCTGTTAAATCTTCGAATACTAGGTCACAAAGATGCTGTCGGGCACTCTGCGTTTAATGGAACTGAATACAGGAAGAAAAGCTAGAGTCATAACTGCTCTTCGTCATGCAAAACAGCACCTTTTCAACTACCAAGGATACGTTGGAGCGTATCTTCTAATTGGTCACGTTTTGGTTTATTTTTGTTGTAAATCCAGTTTTTTTGGATGAAGTTTGGTGCATGTTTGATAGTCGTATAATGTAGGGCTGAATGTTCTAGGTGGTGTTGACCCGACTGGACCTCACCTATATGAATGTTCAGCAAATGGAACCACCATGGCAAAGCCATTCGCTTCGCAAGGCTCTGGGAGCTATGCAGCGATTTCAGTACTGGAAAGAGATTTCAAGCCCGATATGACGGTCTGTGGTGGTGTTATTCGCTTTGCATTGATAACAACATTTTGTTCATTTTGGAGATCTTAGCAAGGAGAACAACCCACCTTTCATTGTGTCTAGAAGTGACTGAATATGTAATATTAATGTATTTTTCACATACGGCATTTTAGGAGGAAGAAGCGATAAATCTTGTGCAACGTGCACTTCAAGCTGGCATGCACGGAGACAACGCTTCTGGAAATAGTTTGAATCTTGTCATCATGCGTCCTGGGAAGACGGAGTTTAAAGTGGGTAAAACTGAGAAGCGTTATCGTTTTTCTGTCTAGTAGTATTTTCTCACTGTTGATATGTCTGTGATAACATATACACAACAGTGTTTTTACTTAGCAGGTAAAAAAGAATGTTTTGAAAATAACACTATGTTTACATATGAAGAAATTTTAAATGTAGAGTTGACAGTGTTTAATTCTTTGAGAACTAACTCTCTAAGTCCTATAATAAACAATGTCCTCCTGATGATTTATTGCCTTATTGTGGTTAAGAGGTGTTCCTGGATGTTGGGCTGCGGTATACAGCGGGGCAGCCTCCCAGCAAGGTCTCCCAAGCTGAGAAGGACTCCAGCGTTTCCATCAGGAAGCCTAGCTAAGAGTAAACTAAAACCACAATCCACCACCGTCCTGGTATCAAATTAATCACATAGTGGCCAATCTCCATCTGATCCACAAGGGTGGCGACTGCCTGGGGTGATGACGACTTGAGGCAGACTTTTGTTAGACTGATCTCGAGACTCTCCAAAGAACCACTATGACTAAACCAACAAAACATCGAGAAAACGGAGATTATGCTGGGGTTCCTACAACCAGTGAAAACGGGCTATTCAAATGTCCAAGTAAGGAAGTAAACAAAGTGTGTACCACATACCTAGGAATCCAATGGAGATTATTGAATAAACACCACTATTCATAGTAAAATTCGAAATTGTGTACAGTGGTTCTAGGCAAGCTTTATTGTATGTAAAAGAAAAGTGGTTCATTTCGGTGAACTTTGTCGAAACATTTTAATGGAGATTTCTAGTTTTTCTTCTGGCTCTGCAGTGGAGTTTCTTCCTTCTTTATTTTTAGCGTTGGATAACATAGGTCTTTCTCGATTTAGGGTCCAATAGTGCCCGTGTTCTGCAAGAAACCCGAACCAGTTGACCTGTCGTACAAATTCAAAACAGGCTCGACGAAAGTTCTTAAGAGGAAGACAATTAAATTCGACGTAATTGAATCAATGGATGTATCTCATTAAGGTTTCAAAAAATCTGATTTACACTTTGAGGGAGTATGTATGGATGTCGTCTAACTTTACCGTATATATTTGCATTGTTCCAGTTAGTCTGTTTGTACACGAAATATTGTTTTGGTCGTAAGAATAGATATATGTATTTCCGTTAGTTTACACCAATGCCACGATGGAAAGGAATTTTTGATATCTGTTAATATGTTACTAGTTTTTAAATCCAGTAAGGTATTTAACGCTTATATTGTACTGGCTTCAACCAGCATATGACGTTTTGCCTCTGCTTCGACATGAAGGATAGGAAGGATAAAGCTCTCCGCGTTGATCAGTCTATGAGGGATGCGCCATGCACTCGACTTCATTCAGCATCGTTGGAGGTGACTGAACTAATATCTGGCATTTACAATGATTTGTATGGGCGCGTGTGGCGCAAGTTGTCAGGGGCGCCCTGCCATACAAATGAGATCCACACCCGTGGCCCGGCAAGCTTTCCATCCTTCCGAGGTTGGCAGTTTGGTACCAGATTTGTCTGGGAGTGTGATAACACCTACCGGGTACATGCGTACGCGAACTCGAGTCATTGTGAAGGTTAGATATGCATTCATCCATTTCCAAACGATGCTTAATGAAGTCAAATTCATGACGCATCCCCCAGGGATTGATCAACGCCGAGAGCTTTATCCTTTTACAATGATACGCTGTGGCGTACCCATGTGTTGAGCTAGCGCTACTATCTTCCAAGACAAGTCTGGTACCGACTTGCCGGATCGATCCTGTTTTGCCCCGAACACCGCGCTACACATGAGCTACACCGACATAGGAACAGCAATCACATGAGAGGAAACCGTTTGGTGTTAGGACATTTATTTATGGGTTAGGGTACAACTATTAGTACGTATGTTCGGTAGTTTTTGTGTGGTTAAGTCTATGCATTTGGACCCTTCATTTATAAGTGACACAAAATAAATGGAGATAGAATTCTACATAATATGTGTATTCTGTGTATCACATTGACTCATCCCGGTATCAATTAAACGGGTTAGACTTGATTCAAAGAATTGTCACAACTCAGGCACAAGTCGCTGTTGGAGGTATTCATTGTACTTTTCGTCGTCGGCCGGATTGGTGAGATATCTGTAATAAGGTATCTTATCTTAGGTAGGATAATCTGTAGAGTTGATGTTAAATTTGATTGGTTTTTGCACCTTTGGCACTTAAGTCGCAATTCTAGAGTTCTTAGGTCGTGATACAGCTGCTCACCCTTCAACCATTCATGTGCCAAGCATTGATCGATAGTAAGGCGCTCATCGATCTGGAATCAACATTGGACTTTTACCTCCACGTCACCTAAGGCTTTGTTTCTTTGAACTGATGAGTCAAGGACTTCTAAGCTACTGCATAGGTAATCACGCGGTAAAACAAACTGTTGTCTCCAGTCATAACATGGAGAAAACAAAACATCTAAACACTTTCCCCTGGAACTCCATAGTCCAAACGAAGTTATGAAAGGTAACTTCATACGTCATTGCATCTTTGAGATGCAAACTTCTAAACTTGCTAAAATTGTGAATGAGTTTGCACGGACACACCTTTACCCGTAAGAGTTGCTGAATTAGGTTGATAGCAGCTGGTGAGACTTCTGCCCAAGGTTCAGCCGGAAACATAAATGCAGCGTTTTGGATCTGGTCAGCTATCTATAAAATGTGGAGTACATCATATATAGGTCAGTTAGAATAATAAACTGTAGTTTTCGCAAACAATAAAGAGTACACAAGACAATCTGCAGGATGGTGGTGCCTTCTAGAGACGTTACTTTGGGCTTGGTTTAAAAAAAAAGGAGTCCACACATATAGTTTGCAAACGAGAAATATTCTTTGTCATCTATATCATAAATATGCATGTTTAAAAATAAGATGTGTAGTGTAGTATTTTGGATCGACAGCATTGTAGTTACTGTTGTCGTTAGATTATACTTGGATAATTGGGTAGTCCGTCTTCACTGGTTGTGCGGGCTCCAGTACTGTTTCGGAGTTTTGCTGATTTAGCCATTGTAACTTCCTGGGGTCCCGCGGTCAGCCTAGCCAAAAGTCTGCTCCGTGCCGTTACTACCACAGGCGGTCGCCGCCCTTGTGGATCAGATGGAGGTTTGCCAGCAAGTGACTAGTTTGGTGCCGGGACGGCCGTGGATCTTGGTTATGGTTTACTTTTAGCTGGGCTTCCTGATGGAAACGCCGGACTCTTTCGCGGCTTGCAGGGATAAGTCCCACGCTGTATATGGCAGCCCGAAACCCAGGAAAACTTCCCAGCAACGAGAAGGCGGTAAACCGTTGGCAAGTGTTAGATTGTGATTATAAGTTGTTAGATTGAGTAAAGTAAATAATAAAATTAGGCTTGCAAATGACAAGAACGATCTTGAGAATCCCTAGTAGAGCCACAAGTGAGTATATGAACAATTTGTATAAAAAAAAACAAAACTAAGCACAGACACAGAAAACGAGACGGGACCATCTAATTAATCCTGCACTAACCAAGGTATAAACAACTGCAGGCCGGTTAACCTAGTAAATCGAATTTGGACCAACTGTATACTTTCAAGACCGTTTAAGATGTTAATGACGAATTTGCCTATGGTTGCCCATACCTCGTCTCCTTCATTGAAAGGAAATGTGCCTGACAATGTGACATATATGATAACACCGACCGACCACATATCCAGGGACTTGTTGTAGCCTTAAAGGGGAGTTACTGATCTTGTGATATCCAGTGTATTATATAAGAGCAACCCACCTTGCCTAAGCAGAACCTCGGGTGGTAGGTAAGCTGGCGTACCAACTATTGTCTTTCGGAACTGTGATTCACCAATGAATCTGTTAGGAATAACTCTATGAAGAACAGTTAACATTTACTGGTAGTTGGTTAATCACAATTGCTAGCTAACAGCATCCAGCTGGTTGGAATTATAACGAACTGGCGAAAGCAAAAGGCATCAAAAAGCTAGATGAAGTTACAAGTTTTGTTTAGAACACAAATGGAAATGACTACCTGGCATATCCAAAGTCGCAGATTTTCGTCTGTGGGAAGTTCGTATTCATCTCTGAGAGGAGGACGTTCTCTGGTTTCAAGTCACAGTGAGCAATTCCTTGGTTGTGCAAATATTTAAGGGCAGACAGGATCTGAACGAGCAGGAAGCGAGTTGCACGTTCATCTAGACGACCAGCTGCCTGTAAGTGACACAGATTTACGTCACATTTTGTTCGGTCACGACTCTTGTATTCTTTAGTTCTAGACTGTATCGTCAAAGAAATGTTTAGTACTGTGGTTTTAACCCCACGGTGGTTTTCCTGCGTAGATAATGAATAATTCAGTTCCATTCCTTAGTGTACTACTAATTAAGGTCGTGGCAGCTACTAATTAAACATCCAGAAGACATGAAGACTTGGTATCCTCAAAAATTGTAGTCGAATTAGGCAAGGCAATATGGCGCCTTATCTTGCAGACTATGCGTCCTCTGATTTCGTTGTTTTTCACTGATAATCTGTACTTTATATTGGCCACCGCGCCCCTGACCCACCAAGCCTTCCAGCCCTCCGAGGGTCGGCGAATTGGTACCAGACTTGTTTGGGAGAATAGCAGCATTGGCTCGATACACCAGTAGGCCACCGTGAGTTATTGTAAAGGCCAGATATGCATTCAGTCACATCCAAACGATGCTTAATAAAGTCGAATGTATGACGCATCCCTCAGAGCTGCACTTTCCTTCTGCCTCTATTGTTCTACTTCTCACCAAAAATTCCTAAAGTATTGAAGGAATTTTTACGGATTGTAATTGCTCTCGATTGCGTTCTTTTTCCTCCTTCACATTCTTATAAGAGAATAGAACGAAGTTTTTAGTGTATTTTGGCACTTACCTGACTGAGAATTAGCTCAAGCATATCGCCGTTCATTTTCTCCATCACAACGAAGATCTTGTCCTTGGTCTCGCACATGAATTCCAATCGGACGATTCCACTATGGCAGACGCGTTGTAGAATCGCTACCTAGTAATCATCTGAGTTGTAGTTTCTCCAAAAACTCACGACTATTTGCAAACTGAGTCGACCAATCTGACTTCATTTTTATTGCCATTTTCTGTAGTAGAAAAGTTTTTTACACAGTGCCATCTAATTGGTGTACTTGAGAACTGACAACTACACCCACCTGAAGAAGAGAACAGACTCTATTGCCCAATATTATAAACAGTTATCATACAATGTTCTTTCAGTTTCAAACTTTTTTTCTGAAACAAAAGCGCTGCAACCGAAAACATTAATGATTATTGATTGATACGTTATGAGGTGTCAGTCTCATCATTACAGATTAAGAATAGTTGTTTCTTGTTTACAAAGATCAGAGGTCAAAACGACTTTCGCTTCAATCAGTGAAGTTCACTAGAGCTAAGGGATGACTGTTTAAGGTCGATAAAAGCTACTATTTTCAGGAGTAGTACTTATGTGTCCTTTGTAGGTAGCAGTATGTTGCCTGTTTTAGGTGGCAAATTATTGTAGCATATTAATGAACGAGAATAAAGTACAAGTAAAACACTCACCTCTGCTCGCATTGACTCCACACCATTTCCTTTTTTTGAGAAACGTTCCTTCGAGATTACCTGAAATGGACATTTTGCCATAAAGTCTTAGTCATGACACTTATTTGGACGAATTTTACGGCAAGATAGAGGGCAGGTGGATTTTTCAGATTGCCGTGAGGTCTATGTGTAGTCCAAGTTCGCTTGGTTAGTGTTACGCTACGCTTCTACGCTAAGCAAAATATGATCGGTTCCTGGGTTTGCGAACTGGCAGAGAACATCTGTTGACGAGTGAAGTTGTGTTCACTAGTTCGAGTAACTCTTTCTTGAAAACACATTCGCAATTATAGCAGCAACACTTTTCTTATTGGAACAAGATTCCTGGGGCGCATCTGAATCAGATTGAATGAGGTCGAGATGTTTAATACATATTCTTTGTCTTTGGGTTCTTAAAGAGAAGTGCTACGGTGGATTCATTAATAAAAGTTGAAAAGGCTTTCGGCGTTGAATCAATCTCCGAAGGATGCACCATGCATTCGACTTCGTTGAGCATCGTTTGGAGGTGATTGGATGCATATCTGGCCTTTACATGTAATTGTAAAGGCCAGATTTGCATTTAATCATGGCTCATGGTGGTCTACCGATGTAGCGAGCAAGTGCTGCTGTACTCCCAGACAACTAGTACCAATGCAATTTTTGACCCCAGAAAGATAGAGGGCTTGGTGAGCATGTAGCGCGGGAATCGATCCCAAGTGTACTGCAGGGCGCCTCCGACTACTGCGCCACACGCGCCCATTGATCCATTAATACTATACCAAGATTCGATAACCTATTTTTAGAACATAAGCTTTCAAACGACAGGAAATGCAACAAAAGATTGTTATTTGAGCAGGGTCCTATGAACAGTCAAGAAATATGAGGGCTAAGATGTTCGATACGAGATTGCCACACATTCAGGATAATCGCAGACTGATTTATGGGAAGTACTACAGCACAATTATTATTTTCAGTAAATTGTGAGGACTTTAGAACTGTGGGAAATCTTCCATGAAAGACAATTGACGGTATAATTCAAAAGATAAGCATTTTCTCCACAATTCCTACCCACCTTCACAGCCACTTCGACTCCTGTGTGTCGCTGGATTGCATTATAGACTGTGCCGAATTGCCCAGACCCAAGCACTTTCTCGCTTAAAACCTGAAATTCTAGCGTTTCCGGAATTGAAGCTACTGAATGACTGAGAGAAAATTTTTTCTAAGTACCAAAAATCACTATAGTTGGGTAATCAGGTATTCGTTATCGCTGCTATACTCATATGAGAATTGTTGGCGTTCCGGCGCTGTTGAGATCTGAGATCTTTTGTTAATCGGTTCACTATCAAGGGTCCGCAGCGCCAAGTGTTTAGAGTAGTATTTGTATCTAGAATTTCGGTGGAGCGGAGGGGTTGAAGTTTCGTCAGGGTCACTCATGCTGAGGAGTTTGGCATTTATATCAACAAGTTCGGTTAAGTTAATAAACCTATGTAGCAGCAGAGCTCGGTGAAATGCCAGTAGCTATGCTCACGTAAAAGCCAGTGAAAATAAAAAGCTTGGTTATCGTTTATGGTTTTTGCCCCTTTTGAAAGAACGATGAGTACGGAACAGGATGAACAGAACGCTTGTCAGTGGCGCTGGAGTCATTCGGCTACATCGAAGCGATCAAATCTTAGGTTGTGTCTGATATTATTAGTATCATCTATATCACCTTCCAATTCACCAGTGGTCCGTGCTGGGGTGGCTTGATGGGTTCTACTTGCTGAACGGATTCGTTGGGTTTCACACGTTCCTTCTATGAACTTTGTGAAGAGTTCTGAACGTCGGTCAATGGTCTTCTTGCTCTGCAGTTGATATCTCATTGGACCGGCTCTTGTCCATTGATTGTCGTTAGCGTACATTACTGCCCAGCCTACATGATTTTTGACATTTTAGAGTGTATAGCGGCATCTACGATCTTTGATCGCTATCGTAGTATCACGTATCGCGGTATCGTTGTCTGGTTCGGGTCAACGAATTCCCTCACCCAGTTGCGTGGAAAAGGATACTTACGGCACCAGCCTCTCGAAGAGTCATTCGATATTTCATCCTTGGTCCTTCTTGAAAGCTCTCGAAACCGCTCGCTTTTTTCTGCTGAGGTTTGGAGATAAACTGTTCATAACCTTAAATTTTCAACTCAGATATACATAGCTGGCGCATTCGGATACATTCATTCAAGGATAAATGGAGGATCGGGAACAAACTCATTTTTCGTGAAGATCGTCTTCTTCAGATTCAGCAGAAGACCAATTTTCCAATAGGGGTTGTCGAAATCGATCAGCCCGCATTCCGTCTCTGGGTAATGGTTGATGTTACAATAACGATGCAGCGCATGTATCCGTAGTGGTAAGAAGTGTCCTGCAATGCACAGGAAATCGATCCCGGGCCCTAGGCTCACCAAGCCCTCTATCCCTCCGGGGTCGGCAAATTGTATTGGTACCAGACTTGTCGGAGAGGTTAGCAGCTCTGTCTCGACACATCGGTAGCCACCGCAAGTCGTTGTATAGTCCAGATATGCATTAAACCACCAGTAGCGTTGTTGGTACCAGACCAAAATAAAAAGGATTCATGAGACACCATGGAGAGAATATCAAAACACAGTTCAATAAGTGTCGCATTTCCCTGACCTCGAAAGAGCCCTCTATACGAGAGCGTCGACGAGTACGGTGGGGCTATTGGAAATGTTTGAGAGGAACGTTCCTCGAGGCATGCAATGCAAGAACAGAGGAGTCGGCGGCGTCGGCGTTCTCGTCAACAGGAGTTTGTCCATGAACATCGGTTCATTCAAACAACTAACAACCCTAATCGGAAGTGTGTGGTCGAAGAGATGTGGAATCCATGCCGGCCGTGAACATCAAGCTATGACGAAGACGAAGTCGTCGTTCTACGTGGACTTGGAGAAGTTCTACATAGAGGATATACATTCTTTAATGTTATCATTGGTGATTTAAGCGCTAAGATTGGACCCAGAAGAACATTTTAAAAAACCCCATCAGAACTCATCGATTAGAATGGAACGAACGTGATGAGCGGCTGTCTGAGCTTATCATGATTACTAGAAGTGCTCATGGTAAGTCACAATTGCAGAAGCCCCACTCTCAACGCTGGATGTTAGTTCTCCCAACGAAGAGTACCATGGAACAGACGTTATATCAAATTTTGTTTAAATGATGTGACCGTTGTAAAATTTCACATGATAGTGCATTGTCCCCTCCTTCGCACAAGATTCGTTTTTAGCGGTAAGGAGAGAAAAGCGCAAAATTCAAGGAACGAAATCTCAAAATCACATTGATTGGAATCTATATAGATCAATAGTTTACTTCTGGGTAGACGTCGTTATCGATAATATCGACGAGGAATAAGACTGGTTTATCAAACACTTCCACGTTAGTGTTTTTAAATCCAAGAGTTCGGAGATCGCTAAGAGACACTTATCTCCAGGGACATTCGAGTTAAATACGCCAAAATGGACTCGCACCAGCCGTAATCATTCGCAAAGGTAGTCTAAATTTGCAATGTTCTGAAGAAAGACGATAGAAGAAGAAGTTACGGAGATAGAAGTAGTAGTAAAGGTTGAGGATGCAAATGTTGGGAGAGGCATTCATAACGCCCATCTTAACCTCAACAATTACCAGAGTAAGATAATTGCACTCTACTGACCTAATGTTCAGAATTTTTCAGAAATGTCGTAGAAGAAACATTTAATGTTTCACGAGCCCTTTGAGCGAGCATGACTCACCGTGCTACTCTTGCACACAACACCGACAAATGAAAAGTTTACTGGAAGCAGTTCGAGTTACTATACGATTAACATCTTTGTGTACTCAATAGTAAAAGTTTGATTAATAAAGCATTTAATGACCACTCTGGCCTCATCTGGACTGGAAGGTTTGCTTCTGGCTAAAGATTTTTCTTCATTTAGTAAAGACCTTCTGTGTGTTGAAGACTTTCATAAACACTCAACACTCTCGCGACGATGCCTAATTTTCCTTTATATTTTGGAGGAATTTCTGCGCATGTCCTATCCTGTTTCTCCCCTATGCTCTTCCAAACACCCTCCCATGTTTTTGGTAAATATGGAACTCTTGTGTGTGTAGGAAAAACACTCGTTCATTATGCAATAGCACTGCTGTCAGCACTTAATGAAGTTGTATGAGCCGTACGAGATACACGACGATGTTTACCTCGTAGTTTAGCTATCCTCTCATCCCATACAATGCTCAAAAGTCATCTTAGCGACTGGAATTAGAAAACAACGAACTCCTTGTCAAAAATGATGCTGCACTGCACCTTTTCATTGGCCACACTAACTATGCCACACACTTTCTTCAACGCCAAAAACTCCTCGTTTTAGAATAAGAAAATTAGCGAGGAACTGTTAAGAAGACATCCTCGTAAAGTCGACCGCCGCCGTAGGATCTGCATTTCATAAGCTATTTATCGATTACAAGAAGTGCAGGAAAATTCGTCTGTGCACCAAAATAAATCACTGGACAAAAAATGACACCTATACGTGTCATACCGGCCACTCCCGCAGCTTCTTTATTATACTGAAATTGGTATCAGGATGTTCAGAAATAAATGAGAGTTTTAAAATATCTATTGTTTTAATGTGTTTTTTACCAATAAAATATTCTTTGTACCTTGCAATACCATGTACCATTAGAAAGCTGATTTTATGCTCTTTCTAACTATTTCTTTATAATTTTAACCTTTTTATTTACTGCCTATTCTTTTTAACGGCAGGGTATGTTGCGAAACATAAGTTCTATAATGCTAGGATATTTGCAAAACTCCGGACCGCAGGTGTCCGCGGTGGGAAACGAACGCGCTATTGTCCTTTCCGGGGAGTGACGCGTTCACCGTTATAGAAGTTATATTCCGCAACATACTTTGCCATTAAAAAGAATAGGCAGTAAACGAAAAGGTTAAGATTGTGATTATAACTATAGCCTCAGCTTGACTGGGTTCAATGCCGATTTGGGCTCCCCAGATCAATCCCGTTGACGGGTGATTGCTGATGGCAAAAAGATCGATAGAACTAGCTGAGAGAAAGGCGAAACGAAGAACCCGCATAGCGTGGTGGTGAACGCGTTACACCTCGGAAAGGACAATAGCACGTTCGTTCCCCATCGCAGACACCTGCGGTCCGGAGTTTTGCAAATATCTCAACATTATAGAAGTTACATTTCTTTATATTTTGTCAGAAGGTGATTTTTTAAAGCAATTTTGAGCTTTGCAATTTTAGATGTCAAAAACGAGTTTCCGCCAAATTTTGATTTTTTTCGATTTCGATTTTCGATTTAAATTCGAACTGCGATTAGGCTACACAGCACTTCAGAAAGCCGAAATTGCACGAAAAAAAGTTATGGTGACTGTTAGGTGGTCTGGAGCCGGGATGTTTCATCACAGTTTTTTGAATCCGGGGCTCAACGTAGAAGTATTGCCAACAAATTGACGAGAAGCACCGTAAACTCCATCAACAACGACCGGCGTTAGTCAACAGAAAAGAACCAGTCCTTCTTCGTGACAACGCCCCGCCTCACGATGCGGAACCAGCGCTGCAGAAGTTGAACGAGTTGGGCTACGGAACTTTGCATCATCCGCTATATTCATCAGAACTCTCGCCTGGTGACTACCACTTCTTCAAGAACTTGATAACTTCCTGCGCGAGAAATGTTTCACCAACCATGATGACGCAAAAAAATGCTTTCAATAAATTCATCGCTTCCAGAACTGCAGAATTGTAGGCAACTAGAACAAATGAACTTGTTCCTCGTTGGTAAAAATGTTCAGATTCAAATGGTCTTTATTTTTATTAATGAAGTTTTGTTTGAAGCAAGTTATGACATTTTAAATAATATAGTTGAAATAACTTATTTATTTCTAAAGAACCTAATATTTCTTGGACTCGCTATTTTTCTCTTGCTTTCGTCATGGTACTGTAAGAATTCTCGTGCAGAACGCTTTTTGATATCTCGCTTTGTTCACATGGCTGTACTTTATGTCATGTTCTACCAATCCTCTTGAGCATCACTCGATAGTGTGGACGTACTGCACGTGAGAATGGTGATTGTTGCCAATCTGATGTTGGTTTTCCTTCTCGTGATAACAGATAATCATTTTTATAGAGAATATTCTCTGTGACGTAGCCAGCATTCTCTTTCTTCCCACACAATCCTACAATTTTTAAATTGAGGTTATACACTTCTGTATGTTACGCTCGTCTATAATGTATAACGAAATGATAATGCGAAGCAATGCTTATGCACCTGAGGCGTGCACGATTATTATTATCGTTGACTAGTGATATGCGCCTAACCATTCAGTTTCTATAGTAGTCAGTATATGCCACAGGCACCCCATAGCCATTTACGTTGCGTCATGGACCTCATGACATTCTACAAGTGTCTATGCTATTATAGAAAGGCACGCTACACCGTCCGACACCACACCAAAACTGCCATTCACTTGTGAACGCATTTCTTCCCATCCTATAGTACACTTCGCTTACCCATGTATTTCACTGAGCCATAATTGTGTAACCTACTACTTAGTCCTAATCAAAATTAATCCAACCTTTCCGTATTGATTTCGTTATTGTTTATTGTTTACATATGTACATACTTGTCTAGGATTAACTACCCAAGTTTGAAATTTGCTTAGCTGCAATGTGCCTACAGGATCCGCGTGGTATAAAACACATCACATCACATCACATTCCGACACTATCTTTGCCAGGTTGCTCGTTTTTCACTAACTGTGGAAATTTACATTCAAATAGATAACACGTGAAAAACTCAGCTTTTAAAAAGCCTAGATAGAGCGCTGGTGACAATTGGTGGAGGTGCTTCATATACTTAGGTGTAATTCATCTCCGATGAGATAACATTTTGGAGTTTCAAAGAGATAACTGATTGGACATATCGTTCTTCTTTTATATTCACTAAATTATTGAAGCTATTGAAAATGGTGAACTCATGTTGTTTATCACATAATAATAGTTCAAGGAAACAGGAATAAAACTGTGTTAATCTAGAAGTTAGTTCCAAATGGTTGGTATTATGCATTAGTCTTTTGTATTTCATTAAACGAAAATTGTAGTGAGTTAATGTACCTGGTAAAGTTCAGCGAATTCCAGTGCTCGCTCAGCATTTGGCGGATCATTTCGGCTTACAGGGGGTTGCAGTGCGTCTTTAAGAGTCTGTAATGGATATACTTTTGCCTTTTACAGAGTTCAAGGCTATTTCTCGTTTCATTCCCAGTATCTTACGGGAAAAGCATAAAAAAGCGAAACCCTCCAAGTTATTTAGATTTCTGACTGCTTGAAGGTATCCACACCTGGAACCAGAGTTGCGTATTGGACGGCGGGCGAATGCTGAGGCTACGGGGGATCTTCTTTGGCGGCCCACCCGAATAGGCACGCAGGTTCTCGCCGACGCAGTAGACTACATTCGAGATTGTACGGATTTCGAAGCAATGCGGAGGATACCTGCAGCGAAGTCAAGGCGATCGATAGTTAATACATTTCTATTATTCTTACTTATGTTGGTTACATTGCCGTCAGGAATACATGGAGCTCTCTTGTATGTCATTGCTTTTAATAGCTTCGACAACCTTCACCTACCAACCTACTGGGAAGTTCCGGAAGGGCATTGGCTCCTTATCTATTCCTGTAAAAGGCTCAGTAACAATTTGAATGAGGAAGTCCCAATGTTGTAACGATACAAAGCAACTGCTGTAACTGGAGACTACTTAAGAATAACTGCTAGAAGTGTGTATGTAATTCAACTGTACTCGTCTTTAACTCTGGACCGCAGGTGTCTATGGTGGGGAACGAACGCGCTATTGTCCTTTCCGGGGAGTAACGCGTTCACCACAACACCATGCGGGTCCTTCGTTCCGCCTGTTTCTCAGCTATTTCTATCGATCTTTGCAACAGCAGTCACCCGTCAGCGGGATTGATCTGGGGCGCCCAAATCGGCATAGAACCCAGTTAAGCTGCGGCTGTAGTTGAAATCACAATGTTATACCTTTTTATTTTCTGCCTACTATAATTTCGCGGCAGAGTACTAAGCGAAATACAACCACAACGTTGCTGAGATATTTTCAAAACTCTGGACCGATTTGGGCTCCCCAGATCAATCCCGCTGACGGGTGACTGCTGTGGCAAAGATCGATAGAAATAGCTGAGAGACAGGCGAAACGAAGGACCCGCATGGTGTGGTGGTGAACGCGTTA